TAGTAGGCTATTTATAATAAATTATTTGAAAATACTTTCAAATACTTTCAATTCAAAAATACTGAAATACACAGAAAACAAGTATTAAAATAACAAATACTCAAATACACATGTATTTGAACCCAGGTCTGGTTGCCATGCACGCCATATATCATAGATGAGTGATAGAGGAGAATGAATGATAGAGGAGTTGGCTATAGCAAAAACAGAACTGGCTATACTCAGACTATGCTATGCCCCACCTAGCCTAACCATAGCAACAGAATAAGCTTCTATATCAGTGCCAAGCCTACAACTGTTCATGTTGTCATTGTGCTGGGAGTGAGACAAATCACTTGTTATACTTCCTTATGGCTTATCATTTGGTTGATGGCCAAATGTTACTTTGTTATAATACATCATCCCCTCCCGCAGTACTCTAACCAGGGCATGCTGCTGGGTGAAAGTCTGTAATAATAATAAGAGATGTTCTGTGGTTTATTTCATGCACTGTGTACTGTATAGAATACAGTATTGTTTGTGTGCAATCAAGTATCTAGTTTTAAGTACTAGACAAGACAACGGTCTTGTTTATTGGTTTATTTGGATCCCCATTAGCTTTTAGCAGAAGCAGCAGCTACTCTTCCTGGGGTTCTGCCTCATACTCCTTGCGACTAGTAAAATAACAAATACTACCGATGCACAAAGTAATTGTGAGTCACTGCTTGAATTAATGCAGTGGAGAATGTGTTTCAAACTGTATTGATTTGTTGAGCACATGAATCCAAATGTGTATTCTCACAGTGCAAGAAGAATGATGTTTTTGATTGACCCCAGAAACCTGGTTGTCAGGGTTGATAGAATAGAGCAGGGGCTCTCAAACTTTTTCATGAGAAATTGCCGTCCTTCCGTGACCCAAATTAAGATGAAATAGTGTGTGATTATAGATGTATTCTCATAACTCGTGACCCACCTCTCACATGTTGTGCACACATTTTTTTACCTCCCTGTTAGTGAGCATTTCTCCTTTGCCAAGATAATACATCCACCTGACAGGTGTGGCATATCAAGAAGTTGATTAAACAGCATGATCATTACACAGATGCACCTTGTGCTGGGGACAATAAAAGGCCACTCTAAACTGTGCAGTTTTGTCACACAACATAATTCCACAGATGTCTCAAGTTTTAAGGGAGCGTGCAATTGGCATGCTAACTGCAGGAATGTCCACCAGAGCTGTTGCCAGAGAATGTAATGTTCATTTTTCTACTATAAGCCAACTCCAACGTTGTTTTAGAGAATTTAGCAGTACGTCCAACCGGCCTCACAACCGCAGACCATGTGTAACCACGCCAGCGCAGGACTCCACATCCAGCTTCTTCACCTGGTGGATCGATTGAGACCAGCCACCCGGACAGCTGATGAAACTATGGGTTTACACAACTGAAGATTTTCTGCACAAACTATCAGAAACAGTCTCAGGGAAGCTCATCTGCGTGCTCGTTGTCCTCACCAGGGTCTTGACCTGACTGCAGTTCGGCGTCGTAACCGACTCCAGCAGGTGAATGCTCACCTTCGATGGCCACTGGCACGCTGGAGTAGTGTGCTCTTCACGGATGAATCCCGGTTTCAACTGTACCCGGCAGATGGCAGACAGCATGTGTGGCGTCGTGTGGGTGAGCAGTTTGCTGATGTCAACTTTGTGAACAGAGTGCCATAATGGTGGCGGTGGGGTTATGGTATGGGCAGGCATAAGCTACGGACAACGAACACAATTGCGTTTTATCAAGGGCAATTTGAATGCACAGAGATACCGTGACGAGATCCTGAGGCCCATTGTCGTGCCATTCATCCGCCGCCATCACCTCATGTTTCAGCATGATAATACACAGCTCCATGTCACAAGGATCTGTACACAATTCCTGGAAGCTGAAAATGTTCATGGCCTGCATACTCACCAGACATGTCACCTATTAAGCATGTTTGGGATGCTCTGGATTGGCATGTACGACAGCATGTTCCAGTTCCCACCAATATCCATCAACTTCGCACAGCCATTGAAGAGGAGTGGGACAACATTCCACAGGCCACAATCAACAGCCTGATCAACTCTATGCGAAAGAGATGTGTCACGCTGCATGAGGCAAATAGTGGTCATACCAGATACAGACTGGTTTTCTGATCCACGCCCCTACCTTTAAAAAAAAAAAAAGGTATCTGTGACTAACAGATGCATATCTATATTCCCAGTCATGTGAAATCCATAGACTAGGGCCTAATTAATTTATTTCAATTGACTGATTTCCTTATATGAACTGTAACTAAGTAAAATCTTTGAAATTGTTGCGTTTATATTTTTGTTCAGTGTATAATGTCCTTGTGTAAAGGTCAGATTCTGAGTTGTCAGTTTACTGGTACTCTTGCGCCCTCTTGTGATAGAAATGCTGAAGAAACATCACTGCTCTCTCCCAATATGAGAGACCAGGAGCATCGTCTGCCTCATAATCTCAAATAAATAAATATCCCACACTCCTGTCCCCTCAGGTTGGCTTTTAGATGACTCAAGAGTTGATAGAGTACTCTGCAAAGGGGGTTACTTTGATAGCCACATTACAACCTGTAAACACTTCCAGTCTTCTTTGTGGTCTCCTTTCCTTCATGGCCATTGGTATGAAAGGACGTCTTAATTAAAAGCAACATGGTTTTCCCATGGTCGGATTATTTTACCGCTCAATTTTCATCATATGGGATTCTCCTACCTATAGCCCCACCCTACCTAGTCTTGCAAGGTCAAACACGGTATTCTCACATTCGTTTGGAGGACAGGCTTCACCTTACCCAAATAAATTGGGAAACCTAATTGGTCGGCAGAGCTGATGTTTCTGTAGGGGCAAGAAGTGGTACATTAAATTAACAGCAGGCCATCTGTAATCCCTATAATTCATGCCTTCTTACCATCTAAACCATTTGACCAAACTCGTGCCCATAGTATTAAAATTAAATCTTTGTATTCTTCCATTAATATATTGTTTAGCTTTCTGCTATCCTCTTTCCCAGGCGCCAAGTGTCTGGGAAAGAGATTAATTTTCTGAAAAAACGTTTAACACTGGCAGCAATACCTCCATTCGGCCACTAGATGGTGAACAGGCAATTGTGAAAGGGATACAATAATTGAGGGACCCAACAATATCGAGAGTTAGGGAAGGTCTGAAAAATCTATATTGCGTAAATGAGGTGAACGTGAATAGAGGACGCATAGGATTTATTATTCCATAACTTTAATTGCTTATCTGATGTGTTGAAAAACAGAAATGTAATTACTCATCATATTAACATGTTGTTACATAGTAATATCTCTAATTGCTTAGTAATGCGTTTGTAATGGAATAATAGTGTTTGCACTGAATGAGGCATGTCACATTAAAATGTATTACATCATATAGAAGCTGTAATGACATGAGGAATTGTTGCTTATTTGGGGTGAAGCTGTAGTACTGAAAACACAGAGACAGATGTAATCTTAAAAGCAATTTAATGGCTTTGCACATATTTAACAGAGAGGGTAAAAGTCTACAGGTACAGTTCCATCTACCTGTGACCTTGGTCCATATTAAACTACATACCTAGAGAACCTGCTATGGAAAACAAGCTTTCTCCCATCATGGCATTGTTGATTGTGCAATATGAAGACATATTTCATTACAATAGTTAGTGACAGAGAAAAGCACACTATTTATCAAATAGCCAGAGAATGTAGCAAAAAGTATAATATGCAGTGCTATAGCCAACAAAAGCAAGCAACCATTTTTCCCATAACATTACCTATTCCAGTAAATGCTTTAGAATCCACTTTTCCACTTAACAACAATGCTTAAAGTGTTTATTGTATTGTACATTACATTTTTATACTTTGAACTCAATACATTTTTAAACATACATTATAATGCAACTCAAATACGTAGGAAAACAAATCAAAAGGACAGAATAATGTTTTGAAAAATTACAGAAATAAACCTTAATCTGTGTTCTAGTCCTTCATGGATATCCAACATTCTGACTGGTCTTAGTAATTTATTGAGCCGGAGTAGTATATGATAACATTGTACAAAAAAACACAAAAAAACATGACTGAAACTTAAAGGAAAACTCCACCCCAAAACTAGATTTTTGTATTTTTTAAATTAGTCCAATGTTGATACAGTCCCAAAATGTTTTGCATGTCAGCAGTCAAGTTTTCAAGATATTGGCCTTCAAGAAGCAAAGTGTCACATCATCATGATGATGCGTTTTACATCAACATGATGATGTGGCAAGTGAACGCACCATTTGCTTCTTGAAAGTCCAATATCTGGAACCCATATGACTAAAATTTGTCACAGTGACTGAGAATATTATCCCGTTTTTTTCATCCCAATTAATGTGTCATACTAAGTTTTAGGGCATAAAATGAGACTATATTGAAGCTTATAATGGTTGTAGAGCTTATTATTAGTAAGTGAAATTAAACAGGTTTTTAATTGTTTGTTATAGACAAGTTATACACACAGTTCAAAGCACCGCTGACTTTGCTTTTCAACCGCAAGAATGTCATCTTTCAAAGATAGCCTCACAAAACTGAGGACAGACCCTAGAAACTACATACTATTACAAAAAGAACTGGGGAAAAACAACCAAAGCAACAAGTGAAAAGCAGAGAAATGAGAAAGCAGGAAAACCGAGAGAATATACAAAGAAATCTTAACTGGAAACCCTATCCTGTTTTTCAGCGGTGACTTCTGGATGGTTTACAATGGCAGCTGCCCAAAGCATCATATCTACCTTAACATAATTTTTCTTTGTTCCTTATCTTCAAAAAAGAAAAACGGCATATTGTATTTGACCTCTGAGCCCGGCTGTAGGATTGTTAGGCACAGAGTGTGGAGTTTTGGCTCTGAGCTTGCATGCTGGAGTCTGGCTTTAAGAGGAAGAGGAGTAGGGGAAAGAAGAGGAATGGCATTGGGGGGGCTGAGGAGGAGGAAGATCTATTTCTTTTTGCTGAAAAGGCTGAAGCGCTTTTCTTTGTCCTTCTCACGCTTGCCAGGGCTGGACTCGGTTGCCAGGGCGACGGAGGCGGGCAGGGTCTGGGCTCGGCTGGAGGTGGGGGTGCTATGGCTGCTGGGGGTCATCTCTGTCTTATCAGAGGACGCAGCGTTGGAGATGGCCTGCATCCACAAGTTCATCTCCTCCTGCGGCCCAGACGAGGATTTATCAGGACAGACACACATCACAGATCATACCAATACATCGACATTCAGACATCCACGCCATCCACATAGAGATAAGGACTAAAGATAGTAAAGTAAACAATATTCACAGGAAGAACGTCACTCACATACACTGTACAAATGTATAGCTAAACAAACTTACATCATCGTTGGCTTGGAAGAGATACTCATTCCCATCTGTAGCTCTGTAAAAGGAAAATAAAAACAGTTGAGTACTAAGTCAAGCGTACTACTGGCTACAGTATGCAATACCTCATCTTCTGATAATGCAAGACACAGAGGGAGCTATTCAGTGCTCACTTCAGTTTGAACACATGTTTCTTCTTCTTGTAGTCGAGGGCGACCTCACACGCAGCGTCATTCAGGCTGATGGGTATCTGGTTGTGGTAAGGGATCCCCTGGCTGGCACTCTTATGGTCTTTGTAGAAGCCCATCTCCCAGTTGTTGATCACGCAATACACATTGTGCCAGGATCTGAAACGCCATACACAAAAAGTTGTCAGTGCAGTGCCAGCAAAATAATTTGTCAGGAATATACACTTTATATACAAAGGTATGTGGACATCCCTTCAAATTAGTGGATTTGGCTATTTCAACCAAAGAATCGAGCACACAGCCATGCGATCTACATAGACAAACATTGGCAGTAGAATGGCCTTACTGAAGAGCTCAGTGGCTTTCAACGTGGCACCATCACAGGATGCCACCTTTCCAAAAAGTCAGTTAGTCAAATTTCTGCCCTGCTAGAGCTGCCCCAGTCAACTAAATGTTGTTATAGTGAAGCGGAAACATCTAGGAGCAACAACAGCTCAGCTGCGAAGTGGTAGGCCACACAAGCTCACAGAACGGGACTGCCGAGTGCTGAAGCGCGTAGGGCATAAAAATTGTCTGTCCTCAGTTGCAACACTCACTAACGACTGCCTTTGGAAGCAACTTCAGCACAAGAACTGTTCTTCGGGAGCTTCATGAAATGGGTTTCCTATGGCTGGGCAGCCGCACACAAGCTTAAGATCACCATGCGCAATGCCAAGCATCAGCTGGATTGGTGTAAAGCTCGCCGCCATTGGACTCTGGAGCAGTGGAAATGCGTTCTCTGGAGTGATGAATCACGCATCACCATCTGGAAGTCTGACGGACTAATCAGGGTTTGGAGGATACCAGGAGAACGCTACCAACCCCAATGCATTTGCCAACTGTAAAGTTTGGTGGTGGAGGCGGAACAATGATCTGGGGCTGTTTTTCATGGTTCGGGCTAGGCCCCTTAGTTCCAGTGAAGGGAAATCTTAACACTACAGCATACAATGACATTCTAGACGATTCTGTGCTTCCAACTTTGTGGCAACAGTTTGGGCAAGGCCCTTTCCTGTTTCAGCATAACAATGCCCTTGTGCACAAAGCGAATTCCATACAGAAATGGATTGTCGAGATCGGTGTGGAAGAACTTGACTGGCCTGCACAGAGCCCTGACCTCAACCCCATCGAAAACCTTTGGGATGACTGCGAGCCACGCCTAAATCGCCCAACCTCACTAATGCTCATGTGGCTGAATGGAAGCAAGTCCCCGCAGCAATGTTCCAACATCTAGTGGAAAGCCTTCCCAGAAGAGTGGAGCCTGTTACAGCAGCAAAGGGGAGAACCAACTCCATATTAATGCCCATGATTTTGGAATGAGATGTTGGACGAGCAGGTGTCCACATACTTTTGGTCATGTAGTGTATTTGCCTGTATGTTCCAATGTGCGTGTGTATGTGAAATATGTATGTATGTATCTGTGTGTACCTGCTGGATGCCTTCTTGTTGTGACCCTCCCACTCATGTTTGCGGTGTAGGTAGCCTTCCATCTGGTTGGCTGGGGCTGAGTCCTGGGACTTGGCCGGGAGTGTGGCTGCCTGGCTGGGCTTGAGCTTGCATGCTTCACTGGGCGACCCGCCCGGGCTGTGCTCCTCCACCCCATTAACAATGTCACTTTCCTCCCCGTTGTCCTGTTAGAAACAAGTATTAGAGAAGGCTGGGGCAACACACACAGTGGAGCTGGAAGTCAGAGAGTTGGATAAAGCTTCATGCAGGATGAGACGCTGTGTAGAAACATTTAGTGCATTCCCTTTGACTGCTATATGACAACATGGCTTTAAGACAAGTATAGTTACTGTGCATTCAGAAATTATTCAGACCCCTTGACCTTTTCCACATTTTGTTACGTTACAGCCTTATTCTAAAATGGATTAAATTGCTTGTTTTACTCATCAATCTACACACAATACCCCATAATAACAAAGCAAAAACAGGTTCATCCATTTTTGCAAACGTATTAAAAATAAAAAACAGAAATACCATTTATTTACATAAGTATTCAGACCCTTTGCTATGAGAATCAAAATTGAGCTCAGGTGCATCCTGTTTCCATTGATAATCCTTGAGATGTTTGTACAACTTGATTGGAGTCCACCTGTGGTAAATTCAATTGATTGGACATTATTTGGAAAGGCACACACCTGTCTATATAAGGTCCCACAGTTGACAGTGCATGTCAGAGCAAAAACCAAACCATGAGGTCGAAGGAATTGTCCGTAGAGCTCCGATACAGGATTGTGTCGAGGCACAGATCTGGGGAAGGGTACCAAAACATTTCTGCAGCATTCAAGGTCCCCAAGAACAAGGTGGCTTCCATCATTCTTAAATGGAAGAAGTTTGGAACCACCAAGACTCTTCCTAGAGCTGGCCGCTCGGCCAAACTGAGCAATCGTGGGAGAAGGGCCTTGGTCAGGGAGGTGACCATGAACCCGATGGTCACTCTGACAGAGCTCCGGAGTACCTCTGTGGAGATGGGAGAACCTTCCAGAAGGACAACCATCTCTGCAGCACTCCACCAATCAGGCCTTTATGGTAGAGTGGCCAGACGGAAGCCACTCCTCAGTAACAGGCACATGAAAGCCCGCTTGGAGTTTGCCAAAAGACACCTAAAGGACTCTCATACCATGAGAAACAAGATTCTCTGGTCTGATGAAACCAAGATTGAACTCTTTAGCCTGAATGCCAAGCGTCACGTCTGGAGGAAACCTGGCACCATCCCTACAGTGAAGCATGGTGGTGGCAGCATCATGCTGTGGGGATGTTTTTCAGCGGCAGGGACTGGGAGACTAGTCAGGATCGAGGGAAAGATGAACGGAGCAAAGTACAGAGAGCTCCTTGATGAAAACCTGCTCCAGAGCGCTCAGGACCTCAGACTGGGGTAAAGGTTCATCTTCCAACAGGACAACGACCGTAAGCACACAGCCAAGGCAACGCAGGAGTGGCTTCGGTCCTTGACTGGCGCAGCCAGAGCCCGGACTTGAACCCGATCGAACATCTCTGGAGAGAGCTGAAAATAGCTGTGCAGTGACGCTCCCCATTCAACCTGACAGAGCTTGAGAGGATCTGCAGAGAAGAATGGGAGAAACTCCCCAAATACAGGTGTGCCAAGCTTGTAGCGTCATACCCAAGAAGACTCGAGGCTGTAAAAGCTGCCAAAGGTGCTTCAACAAAGTACTGAGTAAAGGGTCTTAATACTTATGTAAATGTGATATTTCAGTTTTTAATTTTTAATACATTTGCAAAAAAATGTTTAAAAACCTGTTTTTGCTGTGTCATTATGGGGTATTTGTTACAGATTGATGAGGAAAATAAACAATTATCAATTTTAGAATAAGGTTGTAACATAACAAAATGTGGATAAAGTCAATGGGTCTGAATACTTTCCAAACGCACGGTAAGTTGAAAGTGGTATTCTCTACAACTATTGTACTGTAAATGAGAAATAAATATTTCAACACAATATGTCACCTCAATTCCATTTGATGAGGAAAAGTGACTTCATAAAAGAGCCTTTGGATAGGTACAGTGCATTTTGTTCCCCATCCTCTGGCTATAATGCCCCTATGTGTTTCTGTGCTCCTTATAGGTCCTCAGCTCCATATAGGTCCTCAGCTCTTAGAGTTCAGTGCCTGAGGTGAAACTAATCAATTGTTTAACTGCATCTCAGTCTCTTTCTGACTGTTCTCTCTAACCCTCCCACTGGATCGCTCCAACTTTCTCTCTGACATCAAGTGCCCTCTATGAGACTTATTTTTTGTGACTTTTACTCTAACTTGACTCTCCAACGATTCAATCTGACTGATTCACCATGAACCTCTCTGACTCTAGACTAACAGCCATCTGATATGAGGTTACACTAACACACTTCGATTCAATCTCACTCACTGTTTGACTAACTCAGATTCCGATAATCTAAGCTTGGTTAGAGGAGGGAGACGTTTGCAAATGCAGTAAAAATCTGTAAGCCACCTCAGTCAACCTTTATCTAGAAGAGCTTTGGATTATGGGATTGATTAAAGTGGGCCGGGGTTCAGCTGAGACAGCGAGAGAGAGCATTTCAAAGACATGCACAGATCAGAGGTTAGGACATGCACACCACATTGCCACACAAAATACTGTTGAATAGAGAGATAGAAAGGGAGCGAAAGGCCAAACCAAAATCCCAAACAATTAACACAAATTGTTTGAACTCATTATTGACATTTGTTTCATTATTGTAAAGTGAAGGGGAATGCAAAATTGGCCAGTTAAAATATTATTATTTCACAACACACCCACTCCAACGTATTACCCATTACTGAGCTCTTCAAGGCTGGACCAATCGTGGACACTTTTACTGAGAGCTTGCCAGGCGATGGACAAATCCTGGATGCTTATACAGAGATCCTGCCATTGGCTGGACCAATACTGGACACGAAGGACTGCATCGCTGCCAGGTTTTGCAGCCTTCGATTGGTGCAACGTGGGAGTGATATCTGTCATCACCGCTTTGTTAAATGTTCAGGGTAAATGCTCAAATAGTTTTCGCTTGGGCTGACACTCATATAGGGAATTATATTATTAATATTCACATCTGCACCCAAATTCTCTCTCAAATATGCTCTCCAAACTGATAATATTAATATAGCTAGACTGATCGCCTCTAGGTAAATACTCTCAGATCAACTTTGATTGACTTGGAGGATCATTTTGATAGTAGTAACTGTAGTTACCTTAGCAATTAAATGACTAAAATGACTAAAATGTAAAATGTAAATTAGCCTTATGCAGAACTACACACACTAATCTTAGAACATTGACCTCTCTCAGTTAGGATGGGTGCCTTTTTACACCAAAATAAAATACTGTAGATTTAATGTCAGACATCCACTGGATAAATTATATCTACAATAAAATTACATTAAAAATGAAATGCAAATGTGTTGCACATGAATGTGTATAAAACAACCCTGGGATGAAACCATAGAAAATACACAAGGAGAAAACAACAATAACAGTTGTCACTGAAAGTGGAAGGTGATTAACAACAATGATGACATGTAAAACAACATACCAACATAAGACATGAGGACAGAAACAGGGTTATTTTGCAGACAGCACAAGGACAACACAAACAGGACATCCATGGGAAGTGACTGACTAACAAGGTTTTATTGGGGAAAGTGTGTTAGTGGGGTGGGTTCAAGGGTGAAATGATTCAAGGGTGGACCAACACGTAACATAACCAGGGAGGAAATGAAGATCCGATACACAGAGCTACAGTGACATGAAAAATGATATGAGAACGTTAAGGCAGGTACCATAGATCTATTGAGGACCAATGAATGACTGATAGGAATGTGCTTACACCCCTCTACACACACACTTGCCACGACTGGAACAATCCTAAAAACAGAATTAAGACGGTGAAGTGATATGAATATCCCTTCCACATAGTGAAATGAATCATACATAGTGAAATGGTATTTGAGATGGCACTGTATGATAGCGGTATGACATACTGTATGTGCTGTCTGGACGGGGGTGAAGATTATGGACATCTGAGGAAGATACAGTAGCTACTCACTACTTTTGATTTCATATTCTCTTGAATTTTATTTAACTTGTATTTATTCAGGTAAGTCATTGAGATAAAAAATCTATTTTGCAAGAGACCTGGTTGATTTGATCTGGGGCAACTTGTAACCTGAGAGGACTAAAGAATATGATTTAATTGCATTACTAAGTAACCGATTTAAGTCACGGCAAAATGCGTCTGTCTGTCAGTTATTCAGGTTCCACATGGTAAGTTTGTAAATAATAACGTACATAAACAGTATTATCATCAGGGACGGAGATAGGAGGAGAGGAGTGTCGAGCTGAGAGGGGGAAGAGAGAAAGTAAAACAGGGATAGAAGAGAAAAGGGAGAGAGGGAAGGAAAAAGAGGGAATAAAATACTAAAACCTGACAGGAAATAAAGAAAATATACAAATAGAAGTCTACACAAGGGAGGGGGGGGGGGGGTCCTTTTTCATTCCCACACACACATGCGTACATACACACTCATGCAGTGATCATTCTCATTCTAGAATACTTAGTGCTGTAGTGTCCCATTATGCTTCTCTTTCCATCAGCCAATAGATCATTTCAATCTACTAGGAATCAAATGTAATAATGTATTCACTTATTTTTTTAAATCCTTCGCTCAATCTCAAAATTGAGATTTTGGAAATGTTGTACTGCTTTTGAAATAGGGTTGCTTAACTCAACTTTCAACTTTATATCTGGTCCCCTACCATCCAAAATGGTTTAATATCTTATTTTCACCTTCCCATTTAATCTTTGCTCTGCTTATATCTGATCAGTTAATCATCCAGTATGTAGCTGCAGCTACCATGTAGTTACTGCAGAGCAGGTCCAGTGCTCAGCAGTCCTCAGTAGTCCTCAGTAGTGTTTATCAATAAAGGCACCAGTCAGTTTGAAGCAATATGAAAGTATAAAAGATTAAAGCATTAATAACTATCCTATTGACCAAAACAACTCTGATAATCTAGTACCCTTGCTACTGCATTTAGCCATGTTCAGTCCTGCAACATCCGCTGTGATAAAATAAGATTAGGTGAATAGAAAACGGCAATACAGGAAACTGCAATCAGCAAAGCTAATTTGCATTAAATCGCATTATGCAAATAAAGAAAAAGAAATACTCAAGGTAGGATAAGTATAGTGTTTTGTAACAGATATAGGATAAGTATAGTGTTTTGTAACAGATATAGGATAAGTATAGTGTTTTGTAACTGATTTAGGATAAGTATAGTGTTTTGTAACTGATTTAGGATAAGGCTAAACGGTAAATGTGGAATAAGTGTGGAACAGTCCTCTCCCCTTGGGGGGGGGGGGGGGTTTGGGGTCACGGTCCGGCCCGCCCGCCGTTCTTGCCCCCAGTCCCAGTCCAGCGGGTCTGAAAGCTGGTGTACTTTTGATAGGCTGGGGAGCGGTAACTAACCCGAGGGGAGTCCTGGTCCGATGGCAGTCCGTTCTGAGACACCTGCTCACCCTCCCTATAGGGACAACACACACAGACAACAGTCAGTCTCAAACACCATATTTAAAGGTAGACTCAGCAATATGATGTAAGTGCACAAAGTAAGCAGCAGCTACTCTTCCCGGGGTTCTCAAAAAACATGACAAGTAACAAAACACTGATACACTGATAGACAAGGACAGTCACAAAAAAAAATAATACAACCATATACCAACAAAACAACTAAAGAATAATGTGTGTGTGTAGATTGTGTGTGTTAGAGTGTGTCTGTGTGTGTCATTGCACAGTCCCTATTAAGCTATAATGTTTTTCAAGGTAATGTTGCGGTTTACTTGAGTAATTGGAGATGGCAGTTCCAATGCGATTATGGCTCTATATAATACTGTGCGAAATTCTTTATAGTATTTATAAACACACTGGGACAATCATAACACCAGAATACAGCATGGCTGCTCAGTCTAAACACAGACACAGAACAGACACACTAAATAAGTCATGACAAACAGACCAAACAACATTTTAGTATGGCGCTCCAGGCTTTTCTCTCACCTCTGCTGTGGCAATGCTTCGTCCATCTGGGTCTCTGCAGGTGGGGGATTTCTCCTCCCCTCCTCCTCCTCTTGCTGTCTTCTCACTTCCAGTAATTCCATCTACATCACAAACCGACACACAAATCATTAATGACCAACCGAATTAGTCAGATTGAAATTGATCAATTCAAGTAATTTCATTAAGTCAATTTGACTGACAGACAAATGAGATGAGAGAATTGGGGATGGATGCCTAATCTAATTAAAAACTAAATTGAGTTATTGTATGACTGACAGCCCTGTGAGTTGTGAGCACCCCCTGTCCTCTCACCGTAGTCAGCCGTTCCAGCGCTGAGAAGCGCTCCTCCCAGGTGGCAGCTGACTTCTCAAAGGCCTCGTGTCTCTTGATGAGTTTCTCCACCTCGTCCACACTCTGACCCATCTCCCTGCTGGACAGGTACGGCTCCTGGCCCAGCAGCCACGACTCGGCCACACCCGCGTCCCTGCCAAACTGGTGCACCTCCAGAACTGGGCACAGACACAGCTAGTCAGACAACACGGTAGTAGAAAGTAACGGTGACACAGTAGCCAATACGGTGCAACAGACTGAACACTATTTGATAGAATTACCCAATCTTAGCCACTCCCATCTGTCCTCCCACTTGTCAATCATGTCTTTCCTCTTGTCCGTCAACTGTAGTAACTTCTCTTTGATCTGAAAATGGAAGGGAAATTGAGTTTTAACTGAGGCTACCAACACCATACATTTAATGACGCACCACAACACCAGAGGGAGCCATCCGGAGACTGGGGCAAAAGACCGAAACAGAGAGCGGAGGAGGGGGAAGTAACGGTCTCTGTGAGGGTGTTATGACATTGTTGGTCCCTCACCTCCTCTAATGCGTAGTGTTTCCGTGCCAACAGGGACTTGCCCAGCTCGATGCAGTTGGTGAAGCTGTCGTTGCGGGCGTCGATCTCAGCCTTGATGCCCTGGTGGTTGTTCATCAGGAGCTCCACGGATGACACGTCCCTGAGGACACAACAACACAATTAGAGAAGTGACACAACAACACAATTAGAGGAGTGACACAAGACAATTGGAGGAGTGACACAACAATTAGAGGAGTGACACAACAACACAATTAGAGGAGTGACAACAACACAATTAGAGGACTGACAACAACACAATTAGAGGAGTGACACAACAACACAAGAGGTGTGTCACACACACTGAACATACCAAGGTCCCAATGTCCTTTGGTTAGGTTACCAGGGGTTTAAATGACCCATGAAATGCTACTTACATTGCTAGTTGCCATGCTAGTGTACGTTTTCTAAAACCACAGGTACATACAGTCAAGACAGGATGACCTGACACCCAGTGCATTTCAGTGGACTACAGCTGCTCACATTATGATGTTCCCCCCTCAGGGATCTGTCCGATTACCCTGACCCCCTGGGACCATGCCAATGTCAGACTAAACACCAGGCAGGATAGGGTGTCACTCCTTCAGACAGTGGAAACAGAGCAATGCAATTACTGACATAAACCAAATCTCTCAATTTCTCTCTCCCACCTGCTTTTTTCACCATTCACCTCATTAGCCAATGCATCTTTCTCTCTCCTTTCTTTTCCTCCTGTTTCTCTCTTGCCCTTTACCTGACATCATCATTAGCACCCTGCGTCTGTCTGTCGGTCTCTTTCTCCCGCTTGTCTTTTCCTTCTCTGTCTCCTCTCTTTCCTTCTTTGTCTCCCTCCTTCCTTCTCTGTCTCCTCCTGTCTCTCTCTTTCCTTCTCTGTCTCCTCCTGTCTCTCTTTCCCTTTCTGTCTCCTCCTGTCTCTCCCTTTCCCTTTCTGTCTCCTCCTGTCTCCCTCTTTCCCTTTCTGTCTCCTCCTGTCTCCCTCTTTCCCTTTCTGTCTCCTCCTGTCTCCCTCTTTCCCTTTCTGTCTCCTCCTGTCTCCCTCTTTCCCTTTCTGTCTCCTCCTGTCTCCCTCTTTCCCTTTCTGTCTCCTCCTGTCTCTCTCGTTCCTTCTCTGTCTCCTGTCTCTCTCTTTCCCTTTCTGTCTCCTCCTGTCTTTCTTTTCTTCTGTCTCCTCCTGTTCTCTCTTTCCTTCTCGGTCTCCATGGTAAGCTGCTAGCTGAGATTCAGCTGAGAGGCACAGATAATGGAGGCCTTGTCGACCCTGGTGACGATCACAATTACAGCTGAAACCAGAGCCAGATAAGGGCTTGGTGTGCTGCTGTCTCCCTGAGAGGAGAGGACATTCAGGGAGGCATTGAGTATACACCATTTTCTGCAGCTGCATTTCCAGTTGCTATAAAAAGGACCAACTGTGGGTGGGATACATTCAGCTGAGCCATCTGCCGAAAACCTGAGCCGCAGAAAACCTTGCTTTGGTACAGTGCCACAGCTACAGCATTAACCCATAAGAGTCTAAGCCCTGTCTAAGCTGGGGGGGGGGGGGGTACTACTAAGCTATATGGAATTGTTAAAAGAAGGACATACCAAGGTTCATTCTTTTATTTGATTTTGAAGACCCCTTGAAGTATCAAAGTAAATAAATATATACAGTATATACAATATACAGTACCGGTCAAAACTAGCCATGCTGGTTAAGTGTGCCTTAAATTCTAAATAAATCACAGACAGTGTCACCAGCAAAGCACCCCCACACCATAACACCTCCTCCTCCATGCTTTACGGTGGGAAATACACATGCAGAGATTATCCGTTCACCCACACCACGTCTCACAAAGACACAGCGTTTGGAACCAAAAATCTCAAATTTGGACCAGACCAAACGACACATTTCCACCGGTCTAATGTCCATTGCTCGTGTTTCTTGGCCAAAGCAAGTCTCTTCTTCTTATTGGTGTCCTTTAGTAGTGGTTTCTTTGCAGCAATTCGACCATGAAGGCCTGATTCACAAAGTCTCCTCTGAACAGTTGATGTTGAGATGTGTCTGTTACTTGAACTCCGTGAAGCATTTATTTGGGCTGCAATTTCTGAGGCTGGTAACTGTAATGAACTTATCCTCTGCAGCAGAGGTAACTCTGGGTCTTCCATTCCTGTGGCGGTCCTCCTGAGAGCCAGTTTCATCATAGCGCTTGATGGTTTTTGCGACTGCACTTGAAGAAACTTTCAAAGTTCTTCATATTGACTGACCTTCATATCTTAAAGTAATGATGGACTGTCGTTTCTCTTTGCTTATTTGAGATGTTCTTGCCATAATATGGACTTGGTATTTTACCAAATAGGCTATCTTCTGTATACCTTGTCACAACACAACTGATTGGCTTAAACACATTAAGAAGGAAAGAAATTCCACAAATGAACTTTTAACAAGGCATTCTTGTTAATTGGAACGCATTCCAGGTGACTACCTCATGAAGCTGGTTGAGAGAATGCCAAGAGTGTGCAAAGCTGTCATCAAGGCAAAGGGTGGCTACATTGAAGAATCTCAAATATAAAATGTATTTTGAATGGATTTGTTTAATACTTTTTTAGTTACTACATGATTCCATATGTGTTATTTCATAGTTTTGATAGCTTCACTATTATTCTACAATGTAGAAAATAGTAAAAATAAATAAAAACCCTTGAATGAGTAGGTGTTCTAAAACTTTTGACCGGTAGTGTATATTTGATGAAATATTATTTTTGCCTTACTGCCATTAGCCCATACAAACGCATTGAATAACAGATTCACTACATGGAACAACAACTAGTCCCAAAAAATAATCAAAAAGGAAGTTTGCTCTGAAGTAGATCTGAGAGATATGAGATCAGGAAACATTTTATATTTTTTGTACATGTATTTAACCTCTTATTTTTGGCACTAAACAGTCTCCAAATAAACAGTCTCCATATAAATGTACAGTAATTCCATTCATTTTTTTCAACTGGTACTGGGGGACATTCAGACGAGTCTTGTGAGGTCTGTGGGCGTTTGTGAGAGTCTCACCTATCCACAGAGGGGTCATATTAGTGTGTAGCCCAAACTGTTCGGATGCTACAGACAGAAGTTGGCAGATCGGCTGTACCGACTTCAGACGGGTCCCAAGACACGTGTGGGGGCCGTAGAGCAAAACAGAGAACACCACTGTGTTCGTGAGAGTCTCATCGTTCCATCTTCTTCATAATAGTTTGTAGGCCAAACCGTTCAGACGCTAAAAACAATTTTGTGAGAAGATTATTTTCGGGATGTCTCATGGTCTGACAAACATCGCTCTAGCTCTGTCACCTTTCACCGCATTTGCGGAAGTGCAACATAGGCGGATGCTGTGGATTGAGACGCATTCAATGCAAATCTATAGCTTAAACTGACAGATTTCTATGGGGATTTTTGTATTATGCTAATTCGATTTGCACGGGGGCGCCGACATCAACCTTAGGGGGTTTTAATACAGAGGGTTTTTTAGGGTGAGCTAGTGAGGATAACTTTGTAAATCACAACAATCAGCACAGAACACTGAGGATTAGATACATAAATCCGGACGCGAGCTGTCGACCACAAGCTGCTTACAGAAAACTACAGAGATTATTCGCACCTTGTTTTCTGGCTTTTGTTGGAGAGTCGGTAGGAGAAAAGACATGCACTGAAATAATGGCAAGCTATAAAAAAAATATCAGTCTGAGGCAAAACTGTTTCCCGTCAGGTTCACAGTACCTTGGCTTCTCCTGAGCCTCGATGAGGCGGATGACGTCCTCCATCCAGAGCATGAGGTCTCGCACCATGCTGAAGAAGCGGAACTTGTCGCCGGTGTCGAGCAGTCTGACCCTGCGGCCGTCGCAGGCCTCCAGCAGGGTCCTCCAGGCCTCCAGCACCTCACCCTCTCTCTTTTGGATGTCATCAGCCTTGTCTCCGGCATAGGCAGACTGCAGACGCACAGCATCCTCCTGCAACGTCCTCACCTGGGGAGGGAAAGAGACAAATATGGGTAGACAGATACTAAATGTTTACAAGTCTTGTCTATGATTTACATTACAAATCTGTGAGAGATTCACCTTATAGCTGCATAATTTGTTTAGGCTGTATTAGAACTGCTTTATCCCCCCCCTTACTTTACCAGGTAGTTTGACCAAGAACACAAATCTAATTTACAGCAACGTCCTGGGAATAGTTACAGGGGAAATGAGGGGGTATGAATGAGCCAATTGGAGGCTGATGATTACGTGGCTATGATGGTATGAGGGCCAGATTGGAAATTTAGCCAAGACACCCCTACTCTTACGATAAGTACAAATTGGATCTTTAGTGACCACAGAGTCAGGACACCCATTTAACGTCCCATCCAAAAGATGGCACACACCAATGCCCTGAGGCATTGGAAACTTTTTTTTTTTTGGGGGGGGGGGGGGGGGGGTGAGTACCTCCTATTGGCCCTCCCACACCACTTCCAGCAGCATGTGGTCTCCAATCCAGGGACCGACTAGGACCGACCCTGCTTAGCTTCAGAGGCAAGCCAGCAGTGGGATGCAGGGTGGTATGCTGCTGGTTAACTGCCATAGTAGGTCTTTTGGTCTTTCTGGCTGCTGGCGTTATTGTCATACCTGTGTCCCCAGGGCCTGGATGTCATGTTCAAAGGCGGTGTGCATCCTCTGCAGGGTCTCCACTGTGTTCTGGTCTCGGCCCAGCTCCTCAGGCAGCTTCTTGTGTTTGTCCAGGATGCGGTTGAGGATCTCCTTGGCGTCGTGGTAGAACTTGTGCAGCTCGAAGGACGCCGCCAGGATCTGCGTGCGTGTGTCGATTAGCTCCAGCAGGTCGGCCCATGCTTCATTCAGCCCGTCCTTCCACTCCGCGATGGTTGCTGCGTCGGTGTGGCCCGAGTTGATGAGCTCGTCCGCCAACTGGTTGACGGTGTCCACGCGCTCCTGACCGATGTTGCCTGTGTCGCGAGCAAACTCACGGAAACGCTCCTGCAGCATCTGTAGAGGGATATTATCACAGCAAAGTGAGAACGGACATATTCCGCTAGATACTCTGGCAACAGGGGAACATAAGGGGCATGGCTGCACTACATACCGTGACATGTTCGTAGTCCTGTCCCAGCTCATGTGACCCAGCCACCACTTCCCTTTCAGCGATCCACTGTTCCAGGTCATCCACCTCCCTGTTGAGCTGGAACAGACGGAACCTCTCGTCCAGCTTCCCCCTCCTCTCCTCTGACAGGTCCTTGAGCCCGGCGTACAGCTTATCCACCTGGGACTGACGCATACCGATCCGCTCACTACACAGCAGGAGAAGGAAGCAGGGAGGGGGTTAGGATATACATGAGCCACATGATCCTATCCTCACTCTCTTCTGTGATGCTAAACTGTCAAGCCTTAAATCTCTGGGTGGTTAAATCCTACTTCAACTCAGCAGGAGTGGAGATGAACCTTACAGTGATCTTAAGTTAGGCGTCTGGTCTCTGACTACTCTGGGCTGGGTTTAAACCCTTAACATTCTTTAGTCTGAAATGGGTGGATATGATTATGGTTTAAACTTCCACATTTCACTGGAGGGGGTCTTTAACCCTGAGGATGAGCCCGAGACCCCTCACCTTTCAGGGTGTGCGGCGGCCGTCAGGCCTCTACTTGTCTGGGAGAGCTGGTGGACAGTCTCAGCGTAGTCTTCCACAGCCTGCTCCAGTATCTGGTGCTTCTTCAGCATGGCCACAGAGCTCTGCTCATCCTACAGACAGAGACAGAGACAGAGACAGACAAGGTACAGAAGCAGACGGTGACTGCACAGACAGTACATAGGCACAGTTTGGTATACTATGATCTATAATTTTGGGAAAACCGCCACGTTATCTCTGTTCTTCTTTGATAAGGTCAGAAAATAAATAACAGTCGCAGTCTTACTCCTACTTACTTTTAACGGTTCCTAAAATCAGAACGGATCATGGCAAAAATTGTTTTAGCTACTCATCTCTGTGTTCTTGGAATTCTCTCCAGACCAGCTGGAGGAGTTTACAAGTTTGGTTGACTCACATGCTACTGAGGAATGTGATTGACATTAGGACTTGATGCAGTGGTACATATGATATATTTTTTATCTATGACACTTGTATGTTTCTGTAATTTAAATGTATGTTTGTCTATGTGATTATTTTATTTTTTGAATGGTGTGTCTATGTCTGTAAGTTGTTACAGTATGTCTGATATTTGTCGCAAACATTGTTCCCCCCCCTGCTGCTGTCTTGGTTGGACCAGGCATCTCTTGAAAATTTAATTTATCATCTCAATATGACTAACCTGGATAAATAAAGGTTAAATCAATCAAAAATACAAATCAGTGTACAGGGCACATTATTGATTAGAGATAGACTAGTCCCACAGCGATCCAGTCCTGTGGTAGGAGAATATTAAGGAGTCAAGGACACAGCCAGCCTACTAAAGGACATGAAAACATGAACGGGAGGACTACTCTCTGCCTACTCACCTTTCACACCCAATATCCCAGCATGCCACACAACCATGTCAGAAGGCCCTGTTTGCCCAGGTCACTGCACACGTCTTTTACCCTTCACCTCGTTTCTCTCTGTGACAAGGACCCACTTCTGCCTGACATACCAACAACTTACTGTCCTACCAAGTGCAGAAATACCCCTTGTCCAGTACCAACCAGCCCTTTTCCTATCCAGCAGCTTGCCTTGTAACCACACCCCAGTTCCTATTGAACTCTGCCCCTCCTAAAGATCCACCCCAACAAACTACTGAAGAGCAACCCACCAGTCCTAACCTAAACACACATTGTACCTCTACCAAAGACAGCTGCTCATCCCATCATGCCCAATCTTCATCATCCTACCTCCCATCAGGCCCAATCCCATTATCCTACTTCCCATCACGCCCAATCCCCATCATCCTACCTTCCATCACGCCCAATCCACATCATCCTACATCCCATCAGGCCCAATCACCATCATCCTACCTCCCATCGGGCCCGATCCCCATCATCCTACCTCCCATCAGGCCCAATTCCCATCATCCTACCTCCCATCAGGCCCAATCTCCATCATCTTACATCCCATCAGGCTCAATCACCATTATCATACATCCTATCAGGCCCAATCACCATCATCCTACCTCACATTCAAACTTCATTCTGATTGCTCATATATAACATTTTTAGCTCTCTGCCCCACTGGGCCCCTCACCTTGGCTTTCTCCTCTGACATCATGTAGAGCTCCTGCTCGCTCATCCAGGCCTCGGCTTCAGCAGCATCAAAGTAGTACTGTTGGGCCTTGTGGGCCTCCTCCAGTCGTCCATGGCGTTTGCCTGTCTCCTCCAGGATCTGGGCCCACAGGCGCCGCAGGTCGGCCAGCCGCTGGCGGATCCCCTCGCCACTGAAGCTGTTGTCGTCATTCTTGAGGACCTGCTGGCTCCGCTCAAAGATGTCGTCACAGCGCGGCTGGTGGCCCTGGATCTCCTTCTGCAGGGTCTGGTGGGGGAGAGGTTAAAGGGCAGAAGGTCAGAATGATGTCAGCTGCTTTAAAAGTAGAATACATGAGGTCACCTGGTACAGAAACAGATCGGTCACCCTGATTCTAATTGAAGTACTGTAAACGCTAAGAGCTATATTCTATAGATAGAAATACTGTTCAAGGTTCAAACTGACAGAGGTTGTTTCTTACCTGGTTTTTCTTGATGAGTAACTGGACTGTTTGCAGGCTGTTTCTTACCTGGTTTTTCTTGATGAGTAACTGGACTGTTTGCAGGTTGTTTCTTACCTGGTTTTTCTTGATGAGTAACTGGACTGTTTGCAGGTTGTTTCCGTGGTCTGTAGATATTGCAAGTGGCATTCGCTCTTCAACCCAGAGCTAAGAGGAAAACACAGATATAGGTATGAATAATTTTGGAAGATTGACACATTGATGTAGCAAAAGCAATGACAGCATCTAAACTTAACCACAACTAACCACTTGAAATAAGGGAAGTACTTGGGCAAAGCGGTTTTTCTTCTGACTGACTGAAGTAAGCATTTTAAATCCAGTTGATGGCATACACAGATGCAGACACTTCAGTTCAGAGACCCAACCCAGTCATGTCAAAACACGTGGCCTGCTCCTGCTTGTCTGCCTGAATGGAGTTACTACAGTCATTACATTAACAAAGAGACCATCACAGCTATGAAAGCATGCACCTGCTGCTACTCTCAGCGGGTGCCCCCCCCCCCAAAAGAAAAAACGTTTAGTTCTTAAATCCCTTCAGACAAGGTGCTGCTCTGCTGTTCAGCTTCTGCTGCTGTTCCACACTGCCATAGGGCAGCCATTTCACACAAGCACACTCAGTATACTGTAGCTTATAAACATTGGCATAAAAATACATTTAACACTTGCACAAGCAGGCATACATAATCTCTCACTCTTTCTCTGAAACACACATGCGCACACCGACACTGACAGACACACACACACGACTACGATAGATTCATGTACTTACGATCTCGTCCTCCACGTCTCTGTTGAACTGGTGGATCTCGCGGGAGGCCATGAGGTTTCCCTTCCTCTTCCTCAGAGGGTCCAGCAGCTGCTGGAACTTCTTCTCCACGATGCGGCGCTGGCCGTCCACCTCGTCCGTGTCCTTCCCCTCCAGGCTGAGAACCTGGGCCTGGCTCTGCAGCTCCTCCACCTCCTTCTGACGCACCTCCACCTGGCTCTCCAGCATCTAGGGACACCACACCAGGAGGAGAGGAAATGAAAGAGACAGGATTACAGCAAGCTCTCTCTAGCTCCCTCTCTGGTCAACTGAGAGCATGCGTTCCAGAGCTCTCCGTTTTGTTTGTGCCCTCTCTTTCGCTCGCTCTCCCTCTTCCAGATCAAACAAACAGTGGAAATGCTCTCCCTCTCTCACATGCACACATTTTGGGTCTGGGTTACACAAAGGATACCATGGGTGCACAACCTTTCATTTCACTGTCGCGCATATACAATCAACATGCTCCACTGTAGTTCTACCTCATATTATAGGCACACTGTTTTGCTCCATCGCTCTCTCTGCTTTACTCCCTCCCAGTCTCTCTCCCAGTCTCTCTCACACACATAGTGGGGGCTCATCTCACAGACACCGAGCTGGCTTATTCACACATCAAGGCTAGGAAGAGATTACGTAATGGGACGGGTGGGGGTAGTGTTGGTGTGTGCGTAGCATGGGCTGTTACATAACGTGGTTAGTCTGCTCATTTCTACTCCACTCGCTAGTATGAATGAACTATGAGCCAACACTTCATATGTTGTGATGGACTATTTTACTCTGCGCTTCACATAATTACATAATTAAAGTAAAAGTGAAAACAATATCAGGTTTAACATTTAGCTCATCGTTTGGCTATATCGTTTGGCTATGCAAGTGAATTCATCCTGAGGTCAATTCCTGACAGTGGCTTTTACCTAATATGAAACCATGATTTAAAATTATACAGAAATGTGTATTTTACCTGTCCATGCGTGTGACAAAGGAGTCAGGAAAATAAGTAGTATGGTGGCACAACATAACTGAGACATACAACAATTCAAGCTCCAGTAGTCAGCACCTGTTGTTTCTTGAGCAGGATGTTGACACTGGTCAGATCTTTGCCGTAGTCGTCTGATTGGATCTGTCCATCCACTCCCACCAGCCACTTGTCCAGGTCGGCACAGCTCTGGGTGAACAGCTCGGCCTTGTTGGCATCAAACAGACACTTGGCCTTGGTCTGGGTGGTGGACTCCAGGTCATCCCACATCTTATGGAGCGCTGCCAGCTTCTCCTTCACCATGGCCTCAGTCTCCGGCTTCTCAGCTATCAGCTGCATTCCATCCTGGGATTCGGTGGGAGAGAATCACGTTAGGACATTATGGAGATAAATAGAGCTACACTAATGCCATTCAGGAAGGAAGACAATGATTCAGTCAAATCTTTCAATCGGACCTGAGCAATGTGACACTGCTCACGATCACTCTCGGCAACAAGCCGTCAATACTGAACTATCAAACTACTCGTTCTAGTCTGCAGAGCTACTGCGCTGTTTCTGCTGAAAGCTTGTTTTGAAATTAATTCCACTTAAAGCAAATATACTACCGCTTTTTTTTTTATCGCTTTGGTACCATTTTCACATGGTAAAATGTCATAACTCTTAGTACAAAACTCAAAACATATCATCAAAAAGGCTGTTTTTCAAAACTTTAAGCACATTTTCAATTGACTAAGTACCACACAAAATCACACAGTAACCTTTTCACCAAACCTAATCAGTGATTCCTCTAGAAATACCTTTCACATAAAGTAATTGCCTTTCACAATGCAATGTTCACAATACTTTTCATATGATTCTCTTCTCATTTGTTTGAATAGATTTTAACATCACTTAATCCAACTACGCTTAATGGTTAATCACTTAACCTGTAAATCCGGGAAAACTCCAGGGCTTAAATTCTAGCTAAATGCATAGCGCATAGAATTAAAAGGGTATTGTCGGATATTATTAATCCTAAAATCAGACAGGTTTTCTACATGGACGATACATTGGAGATAATATAAGACAAGTACTGGAAACAATTAAACACTAAAACATCTGGGAAACCAGGCCTGGTATGCATAGCAGACTTTGAAAAGGCTTTTGATAAAGTAAGACTGGAATTTAAATATAATTGCATGGAATATTTCAATTTTGGAGAATCTCTTATACAATGAGTTAAAGTTATGTATTAGTAACCCTAGGTGTAAAATAGTAAATAATGGCTACTTCTCAGAAAATATTAAACTGTCAAGAGTAAAACAAGGTTGTCCACTATCGGCATATCTATTTATTATGGCCATCGAAATGTTAGCCATTAAAATCAGATCCAACAATAATATCAAGGGGCTAGAAATCCAGGGCTTAAAAACAAAGTTGTCATTGTACGCTGATGATTCATGTTATTTTAAATCCAACATGTTGATCCCTCTACAGCCTCAGAGGATCTAGATAATTTTTCTAACCGCTCTGGATTACAACCAAATTATGATAAGTGTACTATATTACGTATTGGATCACTAAAAAATACAACTATTACAGTGTAGTTTACTAATATAATGGTCTGACGGTTAAGTGGATATACTCTGTATTCATATCCCGAAAGAAAGAAATGATCTCACTACAATACATTTTAATAGAAAGTTAGCAAAAATAGATAAGATCTTGCTACCATGGAAAGGAAAGAACCTGTTTATTTGTGGAAAAATCACCCTGATTAGTCATATCTCAGTTTAGCTATTTGCTTATGGCCTTGCCTACACCTAGCGACTTGTTTTTTTTATTATATGAGGAAAAAAAGATTCCATTTTATTTGGAACAGCAAGCCAGACTAAATTAAATGGGCCTATTTATATAATGAATATGAATTCAGAGGGCAGAAATAATTAAATATTAAAGCATTAGGCCTCTCACTAAAGGCTTCAGTCATCCAAAAGTTATACTTAAATCCGAACTGGTTCTCTAGCAGATTAGTAAGAATGTCTCACCTCATGTTCAAGAATGGCCTTTTTCCCTTTATTCAGTTTACAAACTCATGTTTGGTTATTTAAAATGAAATCTCCAAAATATCACTATTTTTTTAAAAAGCCATAGAAAGTGAGTTGCAATTTCAGTTTAATCCACCAGAAAATATAGAAAATATATTACAACAAATAATAGTTGAACTCAAATATACTAATTGATAAAAAAATATATACACCTTTGGAGATTTTGTTTTTTTATGGTAAAATCTTAGTAATTGTTACCATAAATAGAACTGGTGGCGTTATGTCATACATGTGGCTAACAAAAATATCTGGAAATGTCTGCTCCACTCAAAATTACAACCAATTAATTGCAGCATTACCGCAAAAATTGAAGAGGCAAGTGGAAGAGGGAAAAAGTAAGGAACTTCTGTCTGCCCTGCATTAAAGACAAAAATTGGTTAAAGAAAATTTTGATTAAAAAAGTATACCAGTTTCACTGAAGGACAAAAAAATGACAGCTGTGCCATATAGATTGCAAAATAGTTGGGAAGAGATTTTCGATGTACTGATTCCATGGCACATGGTTTATGAACTGATAAACAAAACGACGCTGGATTCAAAACTTTGTTTTTAAATTTAAATTATTATACAACATTTTTGCAGCCAATAGAATGTTATAGATATGCGGGATACAACCGTCCCGTTTTTGCTGCGAAGAGACCGAATCATTAGATCATTTGTTTTGGTACTGTCCATAAGTAGCTTGTTTTTGGTCGCAGGTTCAGGAACGACTGTAGAATTTACCTGGAGCTAACTCTGCAAATAGCACTGCTGGGTGATATAAAAAGTCAGTCAATCGATCAATAATATAATAATATGTTTCTTTAACTTAAAATCTGAAGAAACTATGAGAATAGAAAGGTTCAGAAGTGTTGTGAAACATCACAGCACAGTTGAAAAATATATGGCAAATAGTAATCAAAACTGGATGGTGTTCAGAGATAGATGGGAGGGGTTGAGTGGAGCTGAAGGGTGGTACTAAAAATAACAACACAACTAATGTAAAATATACTGTGTCTGTAAAATGTATATAGGTTCAGAACTTCTGTGAAACAGCACAGCTGAAAAATATATGGCAAAAAGATATCAAAACTGGATAGTCTTCGGAGATACAGTGAGGGAAAAAAGTATTTGATCCCTTGCTGATTTTGTACGTTTGCCCACTGACAAAGAAATGATCAGTCTATAATTGTAATGGTAAGTTTACTTGAACAGTGAGAGACAGAATAACAACAAAAAATCCAGAAAAACGCATGTCAAAAATGTTATAAATTGATTTGCATTTTAATGAGGGAAATAAGTATTTGACCCCTCTCAATCAGAAAGATTTCTGGCTCCCAGGTGTCTTTTATACAGGTAACGAGCTGAGATTAGGAGCACACTCTTAAAGGGAGTGCTCCTAATGTCAGCTTGTTACCTGTATAAAAGACACCTGTCCACAGAAGCAATCAATCAATCAGATTCCAAACTCTCCACCATGGCCAAGACCAAAGAGCTCTCCAAGGATGTCAGGGACAAGATTGTAGACCTACACAAGGCTGGAATGGGCTACAAGACCATCGCCAAGCAGCTTGGTGAGAAGGTGACAACTGTTGGTGCGATTATTCGAAAATGGAAGAAACACAATAACTGTCAGTCTCCCTCGGCCTGGGGCTCCATGCAAGATCTCACCTCGTGGAGTTGCAATGATCATGAGAACGGTGAGGAATCAGCCCAGAACTACACGGGAGGATCTTGTCAATGATCTCAAGGCAGCTGGGACCATAGTCACCAAGAAAACAATTGGTAACACACTACGCCGTGAAGGACTGAAATCCTGCAGCGCCCGCAAGGTCCCCCTGCTCAAGAAAGCACATATACAGGGTCGTCTGAAATTTGCAAATGAACATCTGAATGATTCAGAGGAGAACTGGGTGAAAGTGTTGTGGTCTGATGAGACCAAAATCGAGCTCTTTGGCATCAACTCAACTCGGCCGTGTTTGGAAGAGGAGGAATGCTGCATATGACCCCAAGAACACCATCCCCACCGTCAAACATGGAGGTGGAAACATTATGCTTTGGGGGTGTTTTATCTGCTAAGGGGACAGGACAACTTCACCGCATCAAAGGGACGATGGACGGGGCCATGTACCGTCAGATCTTGGGTGAGAACCTCCTTCCCTCAGCCAGGGCATTGAAAATTGGTCGTGGATGGGTATTCCAGCATGACAATGACCCAAAACACACGGCCAAGGCAACAAAGGAGTGGCTCAAGAAGAAGCACATTAAGGTCCTGGAGTGGCCTAGCCAGTCTCCAGACCTTAATCCCATAGAAAATCTGTGGAGGGAGCTGAAGGTTCGAGTTGCCAAACGTCAGCCTCGAAACCTTAATGAATTGGAGAAGATCTGCAAAGAGGTGTGGAACAAAATCCCTCCTGAGATGTGTGCAAACCTGGTGGCCAACTACAAGAAACGTCTGACCTCTATGATTGCCAACAAGGGTTTTGCCACCAAGTACTAAGTCATGTTTTGCAGAGGGGTCAAATACTTATTTCCCTCATTAAAATGCAAATCAATTTATAACATTTTTGACATGCGTTTTTCTGGATTTTGTTGTTGTTATTCTGTCTCTCACTGTTCAAATAAACCTACCATTAAAATTATAGACTGATCATGTCTTTGTCAGTGGGCAAACATACAAAATCAGCAGGGGATCAAATACTTTTTTCCCTCACTGTAGATGAGAGGGGTTGAGGGTAGCTGAAGGATGGGACTAAAAACTAATTATGTTTGTAAACCAGTTTATAATAGCAATAAGGCACCTCAGGGGTTTGTGGTATATGGCCAATACACCACAGCTAAGGGCTGTATCCAGGCACTCCGCGTTGCGTTGTGCTTAAGAATAGCCCTTAGCCATGGTATATTGGCCATATACCACACCCCCTCAGGCCTTATTGCTTAAATAGCCCACGTGGTTGTTATGACTTGATTGCTCTGCATTTAGGACTAAATTATCCAAAGGAGAGGGCTGTTCTTATCAGACTGGAGGGAAGTGGGGAGTGTAAGCATCAGCAACAAGCTAAAAAAATAACTACTTTACATGGGGGGAAAACACACACAGTTTTAGGGACACACACACTCACAAAACAAACAATCACACAAAACTCCAGAGAGGGGACATGTGCAACGAAATTGTCAAAGAGATAAAAAGAGAAGACATTCGTCATTAAGTTACTGACTTTCTCGATCTTGTCCAGCCACTCCTTGTTGGACTGCAGCTCAGCCATGAACGCCTGGTGTTTGAGCCATTTGCTGTGGAGGTTTCTGGCTTCGTCGTACGACATGTCCTGAGCCGTGAGCATCTTCTCATTGATCCACATGGACAGCTGCACACACCAGAGAGCCAGTTAGTGAGACAGACAGAAACACACACACAGACGGACCCACACAACCAACGCTTGGCACCATCCGCAATGACTTATTAATTTCATCTCCTGTATACAGGCAGTAGGAGGCAGCAGGGCGTGTTGGGGTGTGTTGGGGTAGTCCTAGCTGGCATATATGGGTGAGGTGCAGTGGGGGTGGGGGGAAGTAGGTGAGGGGTGTGTCACCTCTTGGCAGTCTTGGAGGAACTTCTGCAGGTCTCTGTTATCCTTCAGCTTACAGAGAAGCTCACTGGCGGCCAAGCGGTTCTTCTTATGTCTACAAACACACACACACACAGACAGAAGGACAGGGGTTAAAACATGATAGATTTAACAGCTCATGAGAGATGTAACAGCTCAGAAACAGCTGTTTAAAAAATATTATAGGTCATTTTCGATCTTGTTTCATCGCTGCAACTCCCCAATGGGCCCGGGAGAGGCGAAGGTGGAGTCATGTGTCCTCCGAAACAATGTGTCGGAGGAAACACCGTTCAACTGGCGACTGGGATCAGCCCGCAGGCACCCGGCCCGCCACAACGAGTCACTAGAGTGCAAGGAGTCACTTGTGCGCCGTCCTATGGGACTCCTGGTCACGGCCGGTTGTGGCACAGTCCGGGAATGAACCCGGGTTTGTATTAACTCCTCTAGCACTGGGATGCAGTGCCTTAGACCGCTGAGCCACTCGGGAGGCCAATGTATAGGTTATTTTAACACCTAGATGACGTTAAGCAAACATGACAAGTGCCATAAATACAATTTATTCTATGCGTGTAATTCAATTTGTTCTATACATGTAACGTTGCTGACATAATCGTCACTGGAATAAACAACATTTAGTTCTCCACATACACAATAAATCAATCAAATTGTATAGCGCTTTTAACAAAGCATTCAATACCTCTCATCAATAGAGTCCACTTTCTCCTGGATGCGGTCAGCGTTGACATTTCCATCACTGACCAGCCTGCGTCCGGTGTCCACCACGGCTTTGATCTTCTCCTCATTGGCGTCCATGGTGGTCATGAAGTCCTCCTGCTTCTTTATGGCTCCCTCCGCCCCCTCCAGAGTCGTGGGCATCTCAGTATGGGCCAACACATACTCCTGAGAGAGAGCGAGAGGAGGGAGGAGGGAGGGAAGGAGAGGGAAGGAGGGAAGGAGAGGGAAGGAGGGAAGGAGAGGGAAGGAGGGAAGGAGAGGGAAGGAGGGAAGGAAGGAAGGAGGGAAGGAGGAAGGAGGGAAGGAGAGGGAATGAGGAAGGAGGTGGCCAGTAAAGGCGTCAGTGTGCCATTCGACTCTTGATCAAGAACAAGCAGGTGACTCCCATGTACTGTAGCCTACTGTAGCATAGTAACAGCGGAGATGGTGTTTATCTCAGAAATCCTTCCAGAGGACTGAGCCAACAGAGGTGTGTGTGCATGTGTCTGATTGGTTGGGATGTGAGCGGTGGTGCTGAACAGTGCAGTCAGTGTGGTCCAGCTAGAGCCCCAGAGAGTGTTCTAACTAACAGAGCAGCATGCCTCTCTTAGCATCACACTAATAATGAGAGAGGGGTTCAACCACACAGGAATGCACACAGACACTGATACTTTCTTTAACAATTTGCGTGGAGGCCATTATTTATCCAAAGTAAACACTAACTGTGTGATGCATGATGCAGTCCATGCAATAGAGAGTTGCAGTACCAAGAACTCGCCTTGTACACTGTGCCATCCCATTTATTCAAAATGTTCTGTTATTTTGCTCACTGCTCACCGCCATTTGTCTGTGCCAAATAGGATAGGTAGACGTGTAGGGCTGTCCCCGACAAAAAAATTAACTTGATCGACCGAAAGTCTTCTGTTGTTTCGACGTGTATTTTTCCATCCTATGTGTTTTAATCAAATCAACTATATGTACTGAGCTTGTCGGTTGATTTAAGCGAACTGTTTGATGAAATAATTAAGACACAAATGACTAGAGGGAGTCCGACCGCAATTGATTTGATTGTGCCGGGCTCAGACTTGCTGTGTTAAAGCGAGTGACTGTGTGACCAGCACCCGTTGTCTCTCTCTCCTCCCTGCTGCAGCGACCACCACAGAACATCAACAGTGTTTATCGCGCTGTCTGTGTTGCTGAAGCTGCAACATAATTACAGCCATTTCTGACTGAAAAGTTCTGTTACTGAAATCCCTCATTTGTTTATGAAAAACATTCTCTATTCCCTCAACCCTTGCTCTCTTTACGTGACACATGTATGCATCGCATGGTTGCTCAGGAGGTAAAGGGGAAGTCAGATGTGTGGAATAAATTTGACTAGTTGTGGAAAAGACTGGAGATCAATAACAAACAAGGTAAGGGGGCTTCCCGACATCACTACAGACCCGGGTTCGATCCCGGGCTGTATCACAACCGGCCGTGATCAGGAGTCCAATAAGGCGGCGCACAATTGGCCCAGCATCGTCCGGATTAGGGGAGTTTTTGGCCGGGGGGGCTTTACTTGGCTCAACGTGCTCTAGCGACTCCTTGTGGCGGGCCGGGCACCTGCAGGCTGACCTCTGTTGTCAGGTGAACAATGTTTCCTCCGACACATTGGTGTGGCTGGCTTCCGGGTTAAGCGGGCGGGTGTTAAGAAGCGTGGTTTGGCGGATCATGTTTCGGAGGACGCATGACTCGACCTTTGCCACCCGAGCCCGTTTGGGAGTTGCAGCAATGAGACAAGATTGAAATTGGGGAGAAAAAGAACAAAAAATACTTTAACTAAACAAAGGTAAGGAGCATGTGCTGCGTGCATATTCTGTGTGCCAAACAGGTGCTGTTAGATTACAATATAATTTTTCTGACTGATTGAAACAATGTAAACAACACTAAATAAATGATAAGCGTACCAGAGAGTCTGTTGTAACATTTCTTTATTGAAGGGTCGCTTTGTTATTTTATTTTAAAAGTAAAATGCATTTTATTTGAAATCGTATGCCGTGTGATGACATCAACGAATGAATGAATGATTGATTGATTGATATATACAGTGGGGAAAAAAGTATTTAGTCAGCCACCAATTGTGCAAGTTCTCCCACTTAAAAAGATGAGAGAGGCCTGTAATTTTCATCATAGGTACACGTCAACTATGATAGATAAAATTAGAAAAAAACATCCAGAAAATCACATTGTAGGATTTTTAATGAATTTATTTGCAAATTATGGTGGAAAATAAGTATTTGGTCACCTACAAACAAGCAAGATTTCTGGCTCTCACAGACCTGTAACTTCTTCTTTAAGAGGCTCCTCTGTCCTCCACTCGTTACCTGTATTAATGGCACCTGTTTGAACTTGTTATCAGTATAAAAGACACCTGTCCACAACCTCAAACAGTCACACTCCAAACTCCACTATGGCCAAGACCAAAGAGCTGTCAAAGGACACCAGAAACAAAATTGTAGACCTGCACCAGGCTGGGAAGACTGAATCTGCAATAGGTAAGCAGCTTGGTTTGAAGAAATCAACTGTGGGAGCAATTATTAGGAAATGGAAGACATACAAGACCACTGATAATCTCCCTCGATCTGGGGCTCCACGCAAGATCTCACCCCGTGGGGTCAAAATGATCACAAGAACGGTGAGCAAAAATCCCAGAACCACACGGGGGGACCTAGTGAATGACCTGCAGAGAGCTGGGACCAAAGTAACAAAGCCTACCATCAGTAACACACTACGCCGCCAGGGACTCAAATCCTGCAGTGCCAGACGTGTCCCCCTGCTTAAGCCAGTACATGTCCAGGCCCGTCTGAAGTTTGCTAGAGTGCATTTGGATGATCCAGAAGAGGATTGGGAGAATGTCATATGGTCAGATGAAACCAAAATAGAACTTTTTGGTAAAAACTCAACTCGTCGTGTTTGGAGGACAAAGAATGCTGAGTTGCATCCAAAGAACACCATACCTACTGTGAAGCATGGGGGTGGAAACATCATGCTTTGGGGCTGTTTTTCTGCAAAGGGACCAGGACGACTGATCCGTGTAAAGGAAAGAATGAATGGGGCCATGTATCGTGAGATTTTGAGTGAAAACCTCCTTCCATCAGCAAGGGCATTGAACATGAAACGTGGCTGGGTCTTTCAGCATGACAATGATCCCAAACACACCGCCCGGGCAACGAAGGAGTGGCTTCGTAAGAAGCATTTCAAGGTCCTGGAGTGGCCTAGCCAGTCTCCAGATCTCAACCCCATAGAAAATCTTTGGAGGGAGTTGAAAGTCCGTGTTCCCCAGCGACAGCCCCAAAACATCACTGCTCTAGAGGAGATCTGCATGGAAGAATGGGCCAAAATACCAGCAACAGTGTGTGAAAACCTTGTGAAGACTTACAGAAAACGTTTGACCTGTGTCATTGCCAACAAAGGATATATAACAAAGTATTGAGAAACTTTTGTTATTGACCAAATACTTATTTTCCACCATAATTTGCAAATAAAATCATTAAAAATCCTACAATGTGATTTTCTGGATTTTTTCCCCTCATTTTGTCTGTCATAGTTGACGTGTACCTATGATGAAAATTACAGGTCTCTCTCCTCTTTTTAAGTGGGAGAACTTGCACAATTGGTGGCTGACTAAATACTTTTTTCCCCCCACTGTATATATCAATCAAAGTATTGAAATATAGGCCTAAGTAAGTTACGGTAATAAGACTGAACAGGATGCACTCTTAGGCCTACAGCCACGCAGCCGTCATACCCCTCAGGAAGGAGACGCGTTCTGTCTCCTAGAGATGAACGTACTTTGGTGTGAAAAGTGCAAATCAATCCCAGAACAGCAGCAAAGGACCTTGTAAAGATGCTGGAGGAAACAGGTACAAAAGTATCTATATCCACAGTAAAACGAGTCCTATATCGACATAACCTGAAAGGCCGCTCAGCAAGGAAGAAGCCACTGCTCCAAAACAGCAATAAAGGTTTGCAACTGCACATGGGGACAAAGAATGTACTTTTTGGAGAAATTACCTCTGGTCTGATGAAACAAAAATATAACTGTTTGGCCATAATGACCATCGTTATGTTTGGAGGAAGGGGGTACTTGCAAGCCGAAGAAACACCATCCCAACCGTGAAGCACGGGGGTGGCAGCATCATGCTGTGCGGGGTACTTTGCTGCAGGAGGGACTGGTGCACTTCACAAAATAGATGGCATCATGAGGAAGGAAAATTATGTGGATATATTGAAGCAACATCTCAAGACATCAGTCAGGAAGTTAAAGCTTGGTCGCAAATGGGTCTTCCAAATGGACAATGACCCCAAGCATACTTCCAAAGTTGTCGCAAAATGGCTTAAGGACAACAAAGTCAAGGTATTGGAGTGGCCATCACAAAGCCCTGACCTCAATCCCATAGAAAATGTGTGGGCAAAACTGAAAAAGTGTGTGCAAGCAAGGAGGCCTACAAACCTGACTCAGCTACACCAGCTCTGTCAGGAGGAATGGGCCAAAATTCACCCAATTTATTGTGGGAAGCTTGTGGAAGGCTACCCGAAACGTTTGACCCAATTTAAACAATTTAAAGGCAATGCTACCAAATACTAATTGAGTGTATGTAAACTTCTGACCCACTGGGAATGTGATTAAAGAAATAAAAGCTGAAATAAATAATTCTCTCTACTATTATTCTGACATTTCACATTCTTAAAATAAAGTGGTGATCCTAACTGACCTAAAACAGGGAATATTTACTAGGATTAAATGTCAGTAATTGTAAAAAACTGAGTTTAAATGTATTTGGCTAAGGTGTATGTAAACTTCCGACTTCAATTGTATATATATATATATATATATATATATATATATATATCATTTATAAAGCCAGGCACATTAAACAGTTGATTATAGACCTAATTATGTTGGGGTTTCCTCACTCCTAACTTTTCTTAGACAATTAAGGCAAGGGCTGTTTTCTCATCTCCTAAATCCACTTCTGCCTCCGCCGCATTGTTCTCAACACCAATATGCTGGGTAACTTTGCTATTATGCAAATAGCAACATGGTCTAGGAAAAGGCACCAATTCAACATCGCACTAATGTTTTAGAACCGCGGACAGCGACTGCGGGAGAAAGCGCATTTGTTATAAAATTATATTTTTTATTAGTGTTGCACCATTGTTCTTATGTAATATAACCATATACAATTTCAGTAGCACATCTTAGAATGAAGGACTGTGCCATCCCCACGGCCCCTCAATGGATTAGTCCACTCAGACAGGCGCGAATCAGACTGTTGTCTTGTACACCATGAATTATTAATTTTTTTTGCTACTGCTTGACTAAAGAAATCTCGGTCGACCAACAACCTATCGACCAAACAATCGACCAGTCGACTAAATAGGGTCAGCCCTATAGAAGTGTGTAATGTGATGTTACCTGGTTGTTGAGGAAGGCCTCAGCCTGCTTGGTGTCCCTGAGGAACAGCTGGTGGGCATGGGACTGGGACAGCAGGTTCTGACGGTTCTCCCACATCTTCTGCAGCTCGTTCCAGCCTGTGTCCAGGGCCTGCAGCCTCTGCCTCAGGAACATGTACTGGGCGTCCGTCTGGCCCTGGGTCACCATCTCGCCCATGTCCCTCATCTTCTGGTAGTCCTCCTCGTAGTTGCGGATCTCGTTCTTGATGCCCTCGTGCTGCGCCAGCAGCTTCTCGGCCTCGGCAAGCGTGTTGGGCATGTCCTCTGAGGCGATGGCCGTCTGGGTCTTGGACAGCCATGACTGGAAGTCATCCAGCTCCCGGAGGAACTGCTGCAGCTTGCTGGCCTCGCCCAGGGACTCCTCGCGGTTCTTCAGGGTGCCCTTCATCTCATCCCACACCCCTGTGATCTCCCCCAGACGACCCATGATGCCCTGGGCCTGGTCAGGGTGCTCGGTTGCGAGGCACTCCCCCTCCTTCCCCAGTTCTCCCAGCTTGTCCTCGATGGCGGCCAGGTCACGCTCCATGCCGGTGAGTTTGCGCTGTAGGGCCATGACCCCGGCAAGGTCGTTGCCCAGCTCCTGGGTGGACTCGATCACCTTGGCCTTCTCGCGAATCCATGACTTGGTCTCATTGCACTCCAGGTGATAGTTCTGCACGCCCAGAGCTGAGTTGAGGGAGTCTTTCTTCAGGTCAACTAGGTCACGGAACTGACTCCATCTAGAGAGACGTAGAGAAACACACAGTCAGGGGACAGTGCATTTCCACTAGAGGTTATTAACGGAGGTTAACTGTAGTTGGTGTTGAGATTGATGTAGGATGTTACGCTACCTGGTGTTGAGTTTGTCCTGTTGGGCTTTGATCTCCTTCTCACTGGGGTGACCACTGTGGATTAGTTGCCTAGCAATCTGGTTCACCACGGCAACGCGGGATGCTTGGTTGTTCATCTCTGGCTCCAGACTCTCAAACCTGCAGGGGAAGAGGGGGTACAAATAGAAGGGGAGGTGGAGGTAGAGAGAGGGGGGTAGAGAGGGGGAGGAGGAGGTAGAGAGAGAGGGGTGGAGGGGGAGGAGGAGGAGGTAGAGAGAGGGTGAGGTAGAGAGGGGGAGATGGAAATAGAGAGAGGGGGTAGAGAGGGGGAGATGGAAATAGAGAGAGGGGTAGAGAGGGGGAGGAGGAGGTAGAGACGGGGGTAGAATAGGGGGAGGAGGAATGAGTGTACTGTACTGTACATAAGCATATGGAAACAATGTGATCTTAATGTTAACCCTGTTAACATGCTTTGTTTCCAGTTAAACTGTAATGCCATGTTTCAGCTGTCAGTGTATCACATAGAAGCAAAGCCAATGAAACAGGAGTCTGGAATGGTTCCATGCGGTGGACATTGAGTAAACAGTGTGGAGGGGGAGAGATCATTTCAGACCAGAGACACGTTAGAGTAAACAATCCATTGAACTGCTGTCCAAAACACTAAGCTAACTGAGGACACGGCCTGTTTCTTCTCAGTGTGGGACTTTACAATGATTTGGCTTTAAAACATTGTGGGCTCTGTTGCTAAGTGGAAAGTGAATTATAGGATTCTAGTTCCCACACCTTGCACTAGCGGCCCACCCTAGCTTGCAAAAAAAGTGTTTGTTTCACACATCCCTTCCATTGTGCTACATTCCAATGGCCAGTCAAACCGACGGGAGAACATTCATTTAATTCTAGCTGTGACAGACATTCAAAGTTATTGAAAACACGATGGGAGATATTCTGAGTCTGACAACTCATTTCCTTGACACAGTGGTTTCACTGTGGAAGTTCTACAGTACAAGTCAAAAGCTTGGACACACCTACTCAAGGGTTCTTCTTTATTTTTACTATTTTCTACATTGTAGAATAATGGTGAAGACATCAAAACTATGAAATAACACATATGGAATTGTGTAGTAACTATAAAGGTGTTAAACAAATCAAAATATATTTTACATATTTGAGATTCTTCAAATAGCCACCCTTTGCCTTGATGACAGCGTTTCACTCTTTTTGATGTCTTCACTATTATTCTACAATGTAAAAAATAAAGAAAAACCCTTGAATGAGTAGGTGTGTCCAAACCTTTGAGTGGTAGTGTATGTCTCAAGTCTGCCTCAAGAGAAAGGGTTGTCTTGAAATGACAACAACATATCTCCAAATTGATCAACTGACATAATGCATCTGAACTGGATAAGCATGGTTAGGTTGGGTTTCTTTACCTGTGCTGAACCACTTCCAGATCCTCCAGTTTCTCTGGTATCTCCATGCTGTTGAGCCACTGCTCCTTCTCATCGATCCACACCTCGCAGGCGTCCGCCTCGCTGAACATCTTGTAGAGGGCCAGGGCATCCTGCAGGGCCTGCTTCCTCAGCCGGGTCAGCTCAGCCACCTCCTTGTAGCGCTCCTCGATGCCTGCCAGGCGCCCCTGCACCTCCTCTGAGCCAGTCTGCTCCCTGGGTAGGGTTTTGGACTGCTCGTGCAGGGCGTCGATGACTGGTCGGTAGCTGGTGATCTCCTCGGCCACGTCCTTGTGCTTCTTGACCAGGGCCTGGGTGGAGAACTCGTCGTGGCCCACGTCGGCACTGGACACGATACGGAGAACATCCAGCATCCAGGTGTCGATGTCATCGGCGTCAGCCTGGAACTGGTGCAGGTTGCAGGCCTCCTCCAGCTGGGCCTTCCTGACTGCAGACAGCCCCTCCAGGGCCGCCCACTGCTCCTGGATGTCTTGGATGCGTTCGCGGATCTTGTCAGCTCCGAAGTGGTCTGCGGCCACCAGCTCCTCTCCCTGCCTGATGGTCTGCTGCAAGTGGCTGGCGCGGCCGCTCATCTCGTCCTCGAAGGCGCGGTGCTGGCTCACCAGGCGCACGGCGCCCGTCAGGTCCTTGCCACAGTCCTCCGAGGACAAGATCTGTTCCTTCTCCCGGATCCAGCCCTCCTCCTCGGCCATCTCCCAGAAGAACTTCCAGAGGCGGCGGGACTCCTCCAGGCGGGCACAGCGCTCGGCGGCCAGTTGGCTCAGCTCTGCGTAGCAGAACTCCATGTGGGCCACGCGGTCCCGGATCACCTGGGGGTCACAGGGCTTGTAGCCTAAACGGGGGGATAGGAACATGTCACACGCAGAACACCTCTATCATGTAAACTGAGAATACAAGCTTACAGTGAGGGAAAAAAGTATTTGATCGCCTGCTGATTTTGTACGTTTGCCCACTGACAAAGACATGATCAGTCTATAATTTTAATGGTAGGTTTATTTGAACAGTGAGAGACAGAATAACAACTAAAAAATCCAGAAAAACGCATGTCAAAAATGTTATAAATGTTTTTGCATTTTAATGAGGGAAATAAGTATTTGACCCCTCTGCAAAACATGACTTGGCAATCACAGAGGTCAGACGTTTCTTGTAGTTGGCCACCAGGTTTGCACACATCTCGGGAGGGATTTTGTCCCACTCCTCTTTGCAGATCTTCTCCAAGTCATTAAGGTTTTGAGGCTGACGTTTGGCAACTCAAACCTTCAGCTCCCTCCACAGATTTTCTATGGGATTAAGGTCTGGAGACTGGCTAGGCCACTCCAGGACCTTAATGTGCTTCTTCTTGAGCCACTCCTTTGTTGCCTTGGCCGTGTGTTTTGGGTCATTGTCATGCTGGAATACCCATCCACGACCCATTTTCAATGCCCTGGCTGAGGGAAGATTTGACGGGACATGGCCCCGTCCATCGTCCCTTTGATGCGGTGAAGTTGTCCTGTCCCCTTAGCAGAAAAACACCCCCAAAGCATAATGTTTCCACCTCCATGTTTGACAGTGGGGATGGTGTTCTTGGGGTCATAGGCAGCATTCCTCCTCTGACCACAACACTTTCACCCAGTTCTCCTCTGAATCATTCAGATGTTCATTGGCAAACTTCAGACGGGCCTGTATATGTGCTTTCTTGAGCAGGGGGACCTTGCGGGCGCTGCAGGATTTCAGTCCTTCACGGCGTAGTGTGTTACCAATTGTTTTCTTGGTGACTATGGTCCCAGCTGCCTTGAGATCATTGACAAGATCCTCCCGTGTAGTTCTGGGCTGATTCCTCACCGTTCTCATGATCATTGCAACTCCACGAGTTGAGACCTTGCATGGAGCCCCAGGCCGAGGGAGATTGACAGTGCTTTTGTGTTTCTTCCATTTGCGAATAATCGCACCAACTGTTGTCACCTTTTCACCAAGCTGCTTGGCAATGGTCTTGTTGCCCATTCCAGCCTTGTGTAGGTCTACAATCTTGTCCCTGACATCCTTGGAGAGCTCTTTGGTCTTGGCCATGGTGGAGAGTTTGGAATCTGATTGATTGATTGCTTCTGTGGACAGGTGTCTTTTATACAGGTAACAAGCTGACATTAGGAGCACTCCCTTTAAGAGTGTGCTCCTAATCTCAGCTCGTTACCTGTATAAAAGACACCTGGGAGCCAGAAATCTTTCTGATTGAGAGGGGGTCAAATACTTATTTCCCTCATTAAAACGCAAATCAATTTATAACATTTTTTACATGCGTTTTTCTGGATTTTTTTGTTGTTATTCTGTCTCTCACTGTTCAAATAAACATACCATTAAAATTATAGACTGATCATTTCTTTGTCAGTGGGCAAACGTACAAAATCAGCAGGGGATCAAATACTTTTTCCCCTCACTGTATATACCTGACAAAGATCAAGGACTTATTTTTATGACAGGTGGCAGCATTGGCTTGGATTCTACAATAGGACAATATACTCAGTGTACAAAACATTAAGTACACCTTCATAATATTGAGTTGCACCCCTTTTGCCCTCAGAACAGCCCAAATTCATTGGGGCATGGACTCTACAAGGTGTAGAAAGCAGTCCACAGGAATGCTGGCCCATGTTGAAGCCAATGCTTCCCACAGTTGGCTGGATGTCCTTTGGGTGGTGGACCATTCTTGATACACACGGGAAACTGTTGAGCGTGAAAAACCCAGCACCGTTGCAGTTCTTGACACAAAACGGTGCGTCTGGCACCTACTACCATACCCCGTTCAAAGGCACTTAAATATTTATCTTGCACAGTCACCCTCTGAATGGCACACATACGCAATTGTCTCAAGGCTTAAACATCCTTCTTTAACCGTTCTCCTCCCCTTTATCTACACTGATTGAAGTGGATTTAACGAGTGACATCAATAAGGGATCATAGGTTGCACCTGGATTCACCTGGTCAGTCTATGTCATGGAAAGAGCAGTTGTTCATATAGTTTTGTACACTCAGTGTATAGCTATCCCCTTCAGGATACAATTCATCTCTAATCTCTCCTGCTTTTACGCTCCATCTAAATATAGCCTACAAACATCACCCACAGAGAGAGTAAAAAGAATCACCTACCACCCAAAACGGAATAATCCCAGCACGTGACTCACCCTCTGCGTCGATGGCGAACTTCTGAGCGTTGTTGTTGACGGCTTTGACACGGTCGGCTTGGATGGCGATATCAGCCTCCACCAGAGCATGCTTCTGCAGCAGGTCCTCCACTCCCAGCAGGTGTTTCCCGTAGTCCTGGGACAGCAGCAGCATCTGAAGATACAGGGCACAGCAACCGTGTCAGGAAGGTCACAGGTCACTGGGGTCAATAGTGGGCAATGTAACTGAGCCAAAGATACTTGCTCGTACATCACAAACTGTGACAGAGTATCAAGACAATTCTTACTCCACCATCCAACCACAGTGTCCCCAATCTGTCCCTCAATCCCCACCATCATCATCATCACCACCACCATCTTCCTCACCTTCATCTCGTCCATCCAGTCCATGATGTGGAGCATCTCTTGGAAGACCCTCTGCAGGCCCAGGTTCATCTCCAGACGGGTGCGCCGGGCCTTCAGCAGCTCCAGCAGGTACTCCCACAGACGCAGCACGTTGTCCTTCCTTGCCGTCACACGCTTGATGTCGTGGTAGTTCTCCGCCTCCAGCTCCTTGGCCACAGAGAGCACAGCCTGCACACGCTCCTCGTAGGCGCCGATGTCCGTCTCGATGGCCTCGTGCTTCTTGGTGGCGGCCTCCACTGCCTGCAGGTCGAAGCCAAAGTTGTCCTAACGGAGGGAGGGAGGGAGGGAGGAAGAGGGGGAGAGAAAGGAGTGAGGAGAGTTATGGGTTTGTATCTAACTGTATAGAACTACCAGGGAGATATTAAATGTGTCTGTATACAGTGAGGGAAAAAAGTATTTGATCCCCTGCTGATTTTGTATGTTTGCCCACTGACAAAGACATGATCAGTCTATAATTTTAATGGTAGGTTTATTTGAACAGTGATAGACAGAATAACAACTAAAAAATCCAGAAAAACGCATGTCAAAAATGTTATAAATTTATTTGCATTTTAATGAGGGAAATAAGTATTTGACCCCTCTGCAAAACATGACTTAGTACTTGGTGGCAAAACCCTTGTTGGCAATCAGAGGTCAGACATTTCTTGTAGTTGGCCACCAGGTTTGCACACATCTCAGGAGGAATTTTGTCCCACTCCTCTTTGCAGATCTTCTCCAAGTCATTAAGGTTTCGAGGCTGACGTTTGGGAACTCGAAACTTCAGCTCCCTCCACAGATTTTCTATGGGATTAAGGTCTGGAGACTGGCTAGCCCACTCCAGGACCTTAATGTGCTTCTTCTTGAGCCACTCCTTTGTTGCCTTGGCCATGTGTTTTGGGTCATTGTCATGCTGGAATACCCATCCACGACCCATTTTCAATGCCCTGGCTGAGGGAAGGAGGTTCTCACCCGAGATCTGACTGTACATGGCCCCGTCCATCGTCCCTTTGATGCGGTGAAGTTGTCCTGTCCCCTTAGCAGAAAAACACCCCCAAAGCATAATGTTTCCACCTCCATGTTTGACAGTGGGGATGGTGTTCTTGGGGTCATAGGCAGCATTCCACCTCCTCCAAACACGGCGAGTTGAGATGATGCCAAAGAGCTCGATTTTGGTCTCATCTGACCACAACACTTTCACCCAGTTCTCCTCTGAATCATTCAGATGTTCATTGGCAAACTTCAGACGGCCCTGTATATGTGCTTTCTTGAGCAGGGGGACCTTGCGGGCGCTGCAGGATTTCAGTCCTTCACGGCGTAGTGTGTTACCAATTATTTTCTTGGTGACTATGGTCCCAGCTGCCTTGAGATCATTGACAAGATCCTCCCATGTAGTTCTGGGCTGATTCCTCACCGTTCTCATGATCATTGCAACTCCACGAGGTGAGATCTTGCATGGAGCCCCAGGCAGAGGGAGATTGACAGTTATTTTGTGTTTCTTCCATTTTCGAATAATCGCACCAACTGTTGTCACCTTCTCACCAAGCTGCTTGGCGATGGTCTTGTAGCCCATTCCAGCCTTGTGTAGGTCTACAATCTTGTCCCTGACATTCTTGGAGAGCTCTTTGGTCTTGGCCATGGTGGAGAGTTTGGAATCTGATTGATTGATTGCTTCTGTGGACATGTGTCTTTTATACAGGTAACACTCCATTTAAGAGTGTGCTCCTAATCTCAGCTCGTTACCTGTATAAAAAGACACCTGGGAGCCAGACATCTTTCTGATTGAGAGGGGGTCAAATACTTATTTCCCTCATTAAAATGCAAAATCAATTTCTAACATTTTTGACATGCTTTTTTCTGGATGTTGTTGTTGTTATTCTATCTCTCACTGTTCAAATAAACCTACCATTAAAAGTATACACTGATCATGTATTTTTCAGTGGGCAAACGTACAAAATCAGCAGGGGATCAAATACTTTTTTCCCCTCACTGTAAAACTACCAGGGAGATATTAAATGGGTCTGTATAGAACTACCAGAGAGATATTAAATTGGTGAACATCATCAGGATGAGACAGGGAAGTAAATGACTTCATTGTCCATTACCATGACCAGAGCGGATGATGGCTATGAACCAATACAGTTCAAGTAGACAATGTAGAGTAGGAGTGGTGTCATTGTTAGAGTCTACCACCAGTGTGTGTGTATCAATGAATGTGTGTTTTTTGTGAGTGTGTGTGTGTGTTACCTGCGAGACGAGCCGTTGGTTCTCACTCAGCCAGGTCTCTCTCATGGCGGCCTTGCGGTCGAAGCGGCGTGCCAGCTGCTCCAGTTTCTCCTGACGAATCAGCTCCGTCCTCAGCGCCAGCTCCCTCTCATGCTCTGACTTCTCCAGCCTCTCCCAGGCCTGACACACACACGGTCGAGTAACGGTCACACAGGTGCACCGTACAGAACTCTATGGACCTAATCCATCTACTGTACTAAACCTGTTTTAACTTGACTTATGGTCTTAACACACTGTCAAAAAACTAAACCCACCAAGCAACTAAACCCACCTAGCAACTAAACCCACCTAGCAACTGTACAATCCCCCAAAGCAAAGTAAATCTTCCTCTCATTAACTATACTAAACTCACCAAAACCACCATGTCTATCCATTAAATCTACTTTAACCCTCTGTCGATCAGCTTAATCCATTCTAACCTAATCGAGGACACAAGGGTTCCTGAGTGTTTGTTTTGGCCAGGCCATTGAGATAAGCATGTTCTTTATTAAGGAGCATTAGGTCTCACCTTGTTGATGTCTGAGATGAGTTTGCCGTCCCGTGGCATATAGACCTTCTGATTGTTGGCCCTCATCTTACTTTGAATGGTGAAGAGGAGAACCTCCAGGTTGCCCTTCTCTGTGAACCTGACAGAAACACAAAGAGAATAACATAATTGTAATGTTGAGTGTAAACCTACTGAGGGGAGACGCTGAGATTAGCCTAATTCCACTCTAAAGGCTGGTGGCTTTTGCCTTGACCCATGCAACTCCAGCTATCAACAAAAAAGATGCTCCATTTCCTGCCAGTAGGCCAGAGAATAACATATATTTTGTCAGCAGTAAGGGTGACATTGTTGCCTCTGTAGAAATGGTGCCAGTGTCATTTTCAACAGGCTGAAACATTTGTCTGAGAAAGCATTGCTTTTAGCCACTTCTCAGAATTAACTAATTTAATTCTGAAAAAAGCTTTGAGGAAGGCCAAGGCCAAGAGCAGGTTAGCGTTTTTCGTCATTAATCTTGTTCTGGAGGCAGCTCTGCAGTGGTCACTAGCTGGCACAGCCACAAAGTCATAAAATCTGATTTTAAACCTAACCCTAACCTTAACCACACTGCCAACCCTAATGCCTAATCCTAACCTTAAATTAAGACGGAAAAGCTTTTTGTTTTCATGAATTTTTACAATATAACCAATTTTAACTTTGCAGCTTGCTCATCTAGCGGAAATCGCTCAGTGCTGCCTCCAAGACAAGATTCAAGACAATAAACGTCAACCTGCAGGCCAAGAGGCCGACATGAAGCTTGAATTTTAAAAAAGCGATACTAGCATAGCAATGTGTGGGTTTGTCTTTTCTTTGAAGTTACCTCTCAGAACCAAGAGGCGTTAGTTCACACTGTGAAATTCCAGCTATGAATCTGATACAAGTGCAGACATTTAATAAGGGTTACACTCATCTAGAATCCCTGATCGTTTCAGTTTTGTCCATGGTGAGTCAATTCTGGGAACAGACTGTAATGTTACAGTAAATGACAAGTCAAGCTGCTGGTATGAGGCGTGTGGGAAATTTGGGAGGTAGGTAGAGGACATGGTGTAAGACAATATTTGAAATCTGACATGTTTGTGCATGTGCATTTAAGTGTGTGTGTGTGTGAGAGTGTGTCTCACTTGGGGGGTTTTTCCACGGTGCGGTAGGTGTTGAAGGCCTGAAGCTGTTGCTGCACCCCCACTAAGGAGTTGGCAAACTTGCGGTTGTTGAGGATGATGATGGTCTGTTCAATCCATTCCAAGAGGTCAGAGGCCAGACTCTCATATTTCTGAACCATGTTATCTGTCTCAATGGCATTGTCCAGCACCTGGGAGATGAAGGTGGTGAATCAGTATAACAGTACATACATTGTATACTGGTTGTGCAACGTCAGTGGGAAATATGCATAGCGTATCTAAGGGAATGAGTGTGCTTGGAGAAGTACAGGACATGAGACTTTGCTCTCTTGTGATCCAGGTTGGGGACATGTGAACTCTGACCCCTCACCTTCCCAATACGTTTGCCCTCCACCTTCAGAGCCTTCATCTTGGAGAAGTAGTGGTAGTAGGTCACAACATAGGTGATGATGGACTTCTCATCCGGGTGGTCCACGCTGATATCTGTACACACACACACACACACACACAATAAGAGTCAGACAAAAACAGCTTTGACTCTTCCATGTTTCCCTAATCTACAGACATCAACAGAGGGCTTGGCTTCCGCGCTGCTTGCCGGAAAAAAATTGCATTTATTTGTTTTAGGAGGGAGGCGGTTGGAGTAGAGGGGCTATTTTCCATCAGAACAATAGTCGGGAGCGTTCTCACGCCTCGGTCGCTTTGTTCCCCTCACTGCAGGCCTCTGAGAAGACATGCTGAGATCTCAAATCCACCGCTTATTAAATATTTAATGGCCCTGTGCAGTCAAAAACGGGATTTCCTATTATATATTTCCACACTATGAGGTTGGAATAATACTGTGAAATTGTGAAAATTAGGATAATGCCCTTTCAGTGTAAGAGCTGTTTGAAAAGACCGCCTTAAAATGTCTGCCGGTTTTGGTGGGATGGAGTTTTGGCCTTCCTGGTGACATCACCAGGTGGTAAATTAATTAATAGACCAATAAGAAAGAGAGTTCCAAACCTCTCCGCCAATAACAGCTAGTTTTCAGTTTTTCCCTCCCCATTTGAGACCACTCCCAGACAGTCCTAACAATTTTTGCTTGAGAAATTGTTCTTTGCTAAGAAGCTTTTATTTTATTTTATTGTTTTATTAAAAAACAAATCACAGGAAGGTAGTAAATTTTTTACCCAGAAATGATTTGATATTGAGATAAAAACATATGCACTGGGCATTTAAGACAGCCATTACTCTGTCACGCTCCAGCGGTGAATGTGCCTTTCTGTTTGTACTTGTGTCCCTCCTATAATGGGGCTGTCAGCTACCCGGTAACGACATTAACGTGAGACCCAGAAGTAACGGCCTGTCAAACTACCCATGAAGTGGTTTCTGTAAGCGGTATACAGTAGTAACAGTTGTCAGGTTTTCATGTATTTGAAAGACTGGTCATGGCTCACATCAACAGCATAATCCCAGAAACCCTAGACCCACTCCAATTTGCATACCGCCCCAACAGATCCACAGATGATGCAATCTCTATCGCACTCCACACTGCCCTTTCCCACCTGGACAAGAGGAACACCTACGTGAGAATGCTATTCATTGACTACAGCTCAGCATTCAACACCATAGTGCCCTCAAAGCTCATCACTAAGCTAAGGATCCTGGGACTAAACACCTCCCTCTGCAACTGGATCCTGGACTTCCTGACGGGCCGCCCCCAGGTGGTAAGGGTAGGTAACAACACATCTGCCACACTGATCCTCAACACGGGGGCCCCTCAGGGGTGCGTGCTCAGTCCCCTCCTGTACTCTCTGTTCACCCATGACTGCATGGCCAGGCACGACTCCAACACCATCATTAAGTTTGCCGACGACACAACAGTGGTAGGCCTGATCACCGACAACGATGAGACAGCCTATAGGGAGGAGGTCAGAGATCTGGCCGTGTGGTGCCAGGACAACAACCTCTCCCTCAACGTGACCAAGACAAAGGAGATGATTGTGGACTACAGGAAAAAAAAGAGGACTGAGCACGCCCCCATTCTCATCGACGGGGCTGTAGTGGAACAGGTTGAGAGCTTCAAGTTCCTTGGTGTCCACATCACCAACGAACTATCATGGTCCAAACACACCAAGACAGTCGTGAAGAGGGCACGACAAAGCCTATTCCCCCTCAGGAGACTAAAAAGATTTGGCATGGGTCCTCAGATCCTCAAGAAATTCTACAGCTGCACCATCGAGAGCATCCTGACTGGTTGCATCACCGCCTGGTATGGCAACTGCTTGGCCTCTGACCGCAAGGCACTACAGAGGGTAGTGCGTACGGCCCAGTACATCACTGGGGCAAAGCTCCCTGCCATCCAGGACCTCTATACCAGGCGGTGTCAGAGGAAGGCCCTCAAAATTGTCAAAGACTCCAGTCACCCTAGTCATAGACTGTTCTCTCTGCTACCGCACGGCAAGCGGTACCGGAGTGCCAAGTCTAGGTCCAAAAGACTTCTCAACAGCTTCTACCCCCAAGCCATAAGACTCCTGAACAGCTAATCATGGCTACCCGGACTATTTGCACTGCCCCCCCACCCCATCCTTTTTACGCTGCTGCTACTCTGTTAAGTATTTATGCATAGTCACTTTAACTCTACCCACATGTACATATTACCTCAACTAGCCGGTGCCCCCGCACATTGACTATGCAACGGTACCCCCCTGTATATATAGCCTCCCTACTGTCACTTTATTCTATTGTATATATAGCCTCCCTACTGTCACTTTATTTTTTACTTCTGCTCTTTTTTTCTCAACACTTTTTTGTTGTTGTTTTATTCTTACTTTTTTGTTTAAAATAAATGCACTGTTGGTTAAGGGCTGTAAGTAAGCATTTCACTGTAATGTCTGCACCTGTTGTATTCGGCGCATGTGACCAATAAAATTTGATTTGATTTGATTTGATGTATTCACACAGGCATACTGTAAGAGCATAATTAGGTCAGGTGAAAATGCCTGGGTATTAATGTACTGTCATAATGGTCTAAAACACTGACAGGTGCAAAAGAGGCAGGGCTAGAGTACAGTATGTTACAGCAGCATAAGCATCCTCCTCCTCCTCCTGTAAACTGCATGTTGTTTCCCGCCAGACTATGGTATTCCATGATTATGTACAACAGTTCAGAGTCATGCGCCGATGACTATATTCTGAGTGTGTAATGCAAGTTAAGTATGTGTGTGTTCGTGTTTGCATGTATTCGTGTGTGTGTTTGTGTGTGCATGTATGCGTGTCTGTGTTTGCGTGTGTATGCTCTCTGTACTAACCCTCTACATCCAATAGCTTGTGGATGCCCAGGTGTTGCTCTGCCAGGTTGAAGGCATTCTGCAAGTTGTGGTGGGCGTTGGACTTCTTTAGCTTGTCAAAGTCTATCAGGTCAGGTCTGTGTTTGTGGAGAATGGCGTTGAAGGCCATGCCATCTCTCCAGCTGGTGCTGAAGTTGTGAATGTTCACGTTGGGATATCTGGAAAACAGATATAAAAACATAAACTGAGTGTACAAAACATTAAGAACACCTGCTCTTTCCATGACAGACTGTGAGGAAAGAGCAGGTGAAAGCTATGATGTCACTTGTTAAATCCACTTCAAATCAGTGTAGATGAAGGGGAGGAGACAGGTTAAATAAGGATATTTAAGCCTTTAAATAATTGAGACATGGATTGTGTAAGTGTGCCATTCAGAGGGTGAATGGGCAAGGCCAAATATTTAAGTGCCTTTGAACAGGGTATGGTAGTAGGTGCCAGGCATATCAGTTTATGTCAAGAACTGCAACGCTGCTGGGTTTTTCACGCTCAACAGTTTCCCGTGTGTATCAAGAATGGTCCACCACCCAAAGGACATCCAGCCAACTTGACACAACTGTGGAAAGCATTGGAGTCAACATGGGCCAGCATCCCTGTGGAATGCTTTTGAAGAATATGTATTAATTACATAAAATCTCCAGCCTCTGATTCCCTCTTCAGTGAAACAGATGGCTAAAAAAAAAAGTCCCGCTTTTGACTCTAAACACAATGCCTTTCTTTATTAAACATTTGTTTTACTAAAGTGATTATTCTATTTGAAGCTGGGCGTTTAGCAGTGTTGGCTTTGTTGATGAGTGAATTGACTTATTAAAGTATGTAGCCCGGGGCTGTTCATGCTGCAGCTGACATTTAGTCTGTGATGTCAGATGTGACACCCTCATCAGTTCTCCTCCCTGTGCTCCTCTTCAGATCCTTTTTAGTCAAATCAATTTTGTTAAACACAGCATTGATTGCGAAATATCACTGATACAAGGCGTTTCATTCAAGGCCATGTGATTCCTGAGACTGCTGCGACTTACCCATTTACAGTGCCTTCAGAAAGTATTCATACCCCTTGACTTATTCTACATTTTGTTGTGTTACATCCTGAAATCAAAATTGATTAAATATATTTATTTTCTTATCCATCTACACACATTACCCCATAATGATAAAGTGAAAACATGCTTTTAGAAAAAAATAATGTTTTATTGAACATAAAATACAGAAATCTCATTTACTTAAATATTCACAAACCTAAGTCAATACATATTAGAATCACCTTTGGCAGCGATTAAAGCTGTAAGTCTTCCTGGGTAAGTCTAAGAGCTTTCCACACCTGGATTGTGCAACATTTGCCCATTTTTCTTTTTAAGATTCTTAAAACTCTGTCAAATTGGTTGTTGATCATTGCTAGACAACCATTTTCAGGTCTTGCAATAGATTTTCAAGCAGATTTAAGTCAAAACTAACTCGGCCACTCATTCACTGTCTTCTTGGTAAGCAACTCCAGTGTAGACCTTGTGTTTTAGGTTATTGTCCTGGTGAAAGGTGAATTCATCTCCCAGTGTCTGGTGGAAAGCAGCCGGAACCAAGTATTCCTCTAGGATTTTGCCGGTGCTTAGCTCCATTCAGTTTATTTCTTATCCTGAAAAACTCCAAAGTCCTTAACGATTACAAGCATACCCATAACATGATGCAGCCACCACTATGCTTGAAAATATGGAGAGTGGTACAAAGTAATGTGTTGTATTGGATTAGCCCCAAACATAACACTTTTTTGCAGTATTACTTTAGTGCCTTGTTGCAAACAGGATGCATGTTTTGGAATATTTTTATTCTGTACTGGATTCCTTCTTTTCACTATGTCAATTAGGTTAGTATTGTGGAGTAACTGCAATGTTTTTTATCCATCCTCTGTTTTCTCCTATCACAGCCATTAAACTCTGTAGCTGTTTTAAAGTCACCATTGGTCTCATGCTGAAACCTCTGAGCGGTTTCCTTCCTCTCCAGCAATTGAGTTAGGAAGGACACCTATATCTTTGTAGTGACTGGATGTATTGATACACCATCCAAAGTGTAATTAATAACTTTGACATGCTCAAAGGGATATTCAATGTCTGCTTTTTGTATTTTTACCCATCTACCAATAGGTGCCCTTCTTTGCGAGGCATTGGAAAACCTCCCTGGTCTTTGTAGTTGAATCAGTGTTTGAAATTCACTGCTCGACTGAGGGACCTTACAGATAATTGTGTGGGGTATAGAGATGAGGTAGTCATTGAAAAATAATATTAAAACACTATTATTGCACACAGTGAGTCCATGCAACTTATTATATGACTTAAGCAAATGTTTACTCCTGAAATTATTTAGGCTTGGCATAACAAAGGGGTTGAATACTTATTGACTGAAGACATTTCAGCTTTTCATTTATAATTAATTTGTAAACATTGCTAATAACATAATTCCACTTTGACATTATGGGGTATTGTGTGTAGGCCAGTGACAAGAAATCTCGATTTAATCCATTTTAAATTCAGGCAGTAACACAAAACGTTGAAAAGGTCAAGGGGTGTGAATACTTTCTGAAGGCACTGTACATTTCTCTTTCCATGACATAGACTGACCAGGTGAATCCAGGTGAAAATTATGATCCCTTATTGATGTCACCTGTTAAATCCACTTCAATCAGTGCAGATGAAGGGGAGGAGACAGGTTAAAGAAGGATTTTTAAGCCTTGAGACATGGATTGTGTATGTGTGCCATTCAAAGGGTGAGATTTAAGTGCCTTTGAACGGGGTATGGTAGTAGGTGCCAGGCACACCGGTTTGAGTGTGTCAAAAACTGCAACGCTGCAGGGTTTTCCACACTCAACAGTTGCCCGTCTGTATCAAGAATGGTCCACCACCAAACGACATCCAGCCAACTTGACACAACTGTGGGAAGCATTGGAGTCAACATGGGCCAGCATCCCTGTGGAACGCTTTCGACACCTTGTAGTCCATGCCCCGA